TGAATCGGCCATGGAAGAACTGCGGCGGTGGTCGGCTGTGATGAGGAACTGCGGCGGGCAAGGTAGCGAGGACGGAACTGATGGCTGTTCGAGGCGGCGTGACGTAGAAATTTTCTCGCACAAAATAAAAAGAAATGTCAAGAGAAGTAATTATGATCATATGAGAGAGAGAGAGACGAAACTGGTGACTGTTATTTGTACTGAACCAGAACCTAAAATATTTTGTTAATCGTTAAACTACACTCCTATTTTATGGGAAAACAACGGTGGGCGACGGGCTCGGCTGCGGCGGCTCTGATGGTGGAGAGCTTTACAGATATCATGTGGGTCTCCCTTCTCTCTGGTCTTCCACTTCATACGACTTTTCTCTTGAAGGTTGTGTTGTCAAATTCTTATTGGCCCATTGGATTTCACTTTACATCTAAGCAATTTGAGTGACTAATGCTTCAAACTATGTCGTTTTAATCGAGGGCAATGTTGTCTTTTGAATTTTTTTGGCAAATCTTGTCGAACTAATGGGGTTAAATGCAATAATTTATTAGCTTAAGGGAGTTTTTTGTAGTTCCGGGGATTACTTGCATCATTCCAATAGTACAGGAGATTTTTTGCACTTTTTCCGAGTATATAATTACCCTTTTAAGTTGTTAAATTTTTCAAAATATAGTAAATAATAGTAATTTCATCATTTTAAAAGGAAATAATATATTAATTACATATATTCTTAAAGGAAGATAATTAATGTTTTATTAGAAGCTGGGCTGGACAATTGAAGGCGTCCAAAGCATCTTAAAGTCGGGGTTCCTAGGGGTGCAACCGAAAAACCGGATCCGAGCCCAGCCCCAATTTTTTTTTGCTGATTTTGACGACTATTTTTAGTATTTTATAATTAGTATTGGGCTTGAAAATTATTATTCCAAATTTAAACAAGGTTGCGTTTGAGTTGAGGTACTAGTAACCTCAAGATAGAACCAAAAGTCTAATATTATTTATATATATATATTTTATTTTAAATACATTATATATATTTTTTTGTGTTTAGGAGTAATTCAAGCTTAAACTAGCTCAAAATCACATCAAATTTTTCTCCCTTCTTTCTCTTACACTTCCAAGCCGGACTTCTACATGAGCGTTGAGTATTTTAACAACCCGCATTCGGAAATCTGGGAGTATCACACTCTGACAACGGCTGTAAGGATGAAGAAATGGTTTCTAGTAAGTGGGGTGGAGATTGGAATAGCCTCTCCATAAGCAAGAGCTACAAGATATATCCTTTGTCACCCAGGCATTGCACTGGTTTCCAAAGAATGCTGCTACTTCTCCTTCTCGGGTGTCTAACTGATCTTTTTCTTCCATTAGGGATTTAACTGACGCCTCCAAATGACTTTCACACTAAACAATTAAACTCTCTGTGATGAAGACTGGAAACCGTAGCACCGAACTTTCAGCAACACTTCCTATTTCAGAAGAAGTTCCAATTACGTACTTTAATTGTAGTAGCAGTGCCAGATTGCTGAGGAGAGGAAGTATGTATCTCCTTTATTTTTTTTCTTCCTTTTTTCATCCGGGAAGCACTCTAGAAGTTGAGCTCTTTGAAGAAATGGGGAAGGCAAAGAAGGCAGGATTTGTTTCTCCTTATCTGACCAAATTAAGTTCCACTTGCTTCAGAACAGGAGGAGGAAAAGCAGTCATAGCACGTACCAACACAAAAATATGGCCAGCGTAATAAGGACCAGCCATCTCATTGACATCTCCCCACTTCCACAAAAACAAAAGCCGCCTCTCCAAAGAGCAAGTAGACAGAAAGTTCCCTATGATGCGGTTGATGGTAGCCGATAACAACCAGGAACACAGGTGATTGACGAATCGTGCTTGCATAGCATTCGTCCAAAATCATGACTATCACAGTGCAACTTAGTTAACTGAACAAAAATAAAATCATGACTATGGCAATAAAGTGTAACTAATTGACGTAACACCTGACACGAGAGGCAACAAAAATGGTTAATTTAGTACACAACTACACACTAATGACTTCTATTGTGATCCTTTTGTCACGGTACGTCTCACAAATCCTGAAATCACAACAATGTTGGTATATGATCTAAAGTGTGCGTGAGACACACACACACACAAAAAAAAAGAGAACTTGAGTGCAAAAGGTAGGCAATGCAACTCCTTTTACACTAACTAGTCCATTTTAATCAAGAAAGCAAGTGATTTTGTGCAATTCACCATGTGAAATGGAAGCAAAAGCATGCCTATATAAACCACCCCAACCGTGCCCAAAAAATAATAAAAATAAAGATAGTCTACCAGATTTTTGTAACTGCTTTGATTTTGTCTAGCTTCATTCTTACTATTATTCACTAGTTGGGATGGAAACCCGGATTTCCATCTCCAAACTTGACCTAATCCCAAATCATAGCTCCGATTTACTCATAAAATTTGGTGCATTGTGTTCGAGAGACAGATTTGTGGACAATTGTGTTAGAGAACCTCAGCATTCATATCAAAGGCATCTCACTAGGTAGTTCTAAACTGGAAATTCAATGGAAAAAACAAAAAGCTTTACAAATTTTCAGAATTTATATTGAATTTGAAGCGATGGCGGAGTCAACATCTTTGTTTTCTGAAACGCAAGCACATCTTATTTTCAGGCCTCAGCATAGAATGATCTATAATTTTTGTATCAGTAGACATATATCTCCATATATGAAAAACATATATATATATGCTGAAGATAGTAAAAACAATACCATATTATTGAAGAAAGGGCTAAACTCACAAATTAAAACCCAAGCACATCCCATTCTCAGCATAAGGAATATCTATAATTTTTGTGTACAATTATATATATATATAAATAAACACATATGACATATACACATATCAAAAACATATTTATACTTGAACATGGCAAAAACAATCAAATTCATCAACAAACAAACAAAAAAACGTACCTGATAGCAAGAGGATCATGAAGGCAAGTCATATAATGGTAGAATCAAAATAGTTAGAGCAAGAGAGAACATGAGGCCGCTGAAGACAATTCAGCTTGCCCTAAAATGCATCTCATCTTCAATTCTCAGTCTTCTGATAGCCCATGATTTTTGTGTAAAAGACTGAACATTCCCACACCCAAAAGATAAATTTTCTCAAGAAACAAACGGAAACAGAGATGGCAGCAAAGAGAAGTAGTGTGATTCACGCAAAAATCATTGGCTACAGCAGAAGCTGAGCGGTGAAGATGGGAGAAGTAGGGGCAATCTGGACCAGCTTCAGCAAATCTCAAGTACTCTGATTCACTCCGTGATTGTGAGCTTAATCTAGGGTTTTGAGGTGCCGTTCACATCTTCAAAGATTAGTTCTCTATACAAAGAAATGGATTACTGACGTTCACGTCTCTGTGTATACGATTCGTTTTATAAATAGCACAATTGTAAAGATAAAGCCGTACAACTAGCGTTTGTAGACCAACCGTTGTGATAATTGCCTTCCAAGCAATAGATCCGTGTTCGCAATGATCGCGTATTGAACTATACTGCAAACCATATGATCAATTATTTGTTTTTAAGTGTATCATGGTTTGGCCAGCACGAATCGCATATCAAACTTAAAAAATGATCGCATATCAAACTATATGGCAAATTATTATGTGCATAAAGAATATTGATTGATTTCATAATAAGAGTCATGTGGGATTTATATCATCATAAATTGATTTAATCGAGTTGTCGAGAACATGGGTGTGAATGGTGTGATTGATCCAAGCACATACTATGCTGGTCATGATTCGAATTAAACAATACACATGGTTCCAAGTTGATAATTCCAATGGGTGTGTAGGATTTTTTGGTTGTTTGTGCCTTCAACATTGAAAGGGAAAATAAAAATTAGAAAACTAACAACAAATTTGAGGAACAAGTTGTCACAATAAAAACATATTTAGTGCGATCTTATTTTATTTTACAGTATTAAAACATTTTGCGAAACCGTGGCCCAAAACCAAAATATTAAAAAGATGTTTTTTCTTATTTTGACAATTTTTCATGGCTCAAAACCATAACTGTGTATGTTTTTGTTTTCAATATTTTCACAATAAAATATCAATTCCAAACGTGCTTCCAATTTTTTATAAGCCTTCGTGTTCTTGTGTCATCGTCATGACAAGGGAAGTCTGAGCCCCTCAACCAAATAACATTATTAATCGAGCAACTAATATAGCAAATAAACATGCTTCCTATGGGATTACACTATCATTATTAGTGGGTTAAACCCGTTATTAATACTCCTTACACAATTGCCGTGCCTAATATAAGTAATTCCCTATTATGTTTGACCTTTTTAAAATCACATTTAACCTACAGGGTCAGGGAGGAATCCAACTAAGCAAGAACGTACAAAGTGATGGCGCTGGTGAAGCAAGAGTCATGGGTCCTTTGAGCCTTGAAAGCATCAATCATCTCACCTACACTGCAGTCTAGAGGAGGAGTTCTAGCACCAACTTGTGTAACTTATTAAGTACAATTTCATTTAGGAAAAAATAAAAAATAAAAGAGAGTACAAATTCATTTTAATAATCAACTACTGTAACTGTACAAAATTTGAACATATGTGGGGTACTGCCAATCAATTAGAATTCCAAAAAAAAAAAAAGATGAAGAAGAAAAAAAGAAGATTAAGAAGGAGAGAGAAAAAAGGAAGAAGAATAAAGTACCTGCAGCCCAAGACATCTCTTTTTGAACTGCCAAATTATAAATAAGATTAGTTTGTCATTAAAGTATGGATAAAGATTTGGTGTTTGAAAGTCAGACACGTTCGCTTGATTTATGTGAGGGGGATTGACATCATTATAATGTCATTAGTATCCCAAATGTTATGATGAAATCAGTCCATACTCATGCAAAATCAGACTCTCTATTGTTAGGTATTTCATAGGACAAACCTGCCAACTATAAGGCACCATTAAGTACTATCACTGAGATCAATCTAAACCCACATTTTGTCTCACAAATCAGATACATTCCATATATAAGAGACCTCAGGTCAGAGAATGTTATCATCTCAAGAGAATTACAAACCAGAAAGTACGTAGTTGATGAGATAATTTATACATCGCATGAATCAAGGAGTCTTAAGCTAAAGAAGTAGTAATGGTAACCGAACAAACCACAGCAGTAATTTATTTAGAGCTTCAAATAGAGAGACTAGAGTCTGGGACTACCACCATCTTTATTAAACTGCTGCAAAGTACTGTAAATATAAAAGAACAGAGAGTAAGACATTTGGCTCAAATTATGCATTAAATGTGGTTGTAGAATAATAAAAGAAGACATCCATCTCCATCAGAATCAAAAATTCATACACTCCGCATATATTATGTATGTAATCCTCTATATGATCAAAAATCAAAAGTATTATTACAAAACAAGGTACGTACACCAGCCTAGAAAACCCACATGATCCAAAAACTATAGTCAATAAAAAGACAACCCAAAAATAGAATGTAGCTCAAAACTACAATAACAAAGTCATCAAACATACTGCTTCACGGGCCACGGCCACCTCATTTATTCTCCATATATATATAAGACCTTAAAAAGGTTTTGTAAAAGGAGTGAGCTCAAAGCTGGGCTCAGTGGGTTTCACCAGCCAACCTTTCACAACAGTGTGGTTCAACCTGTTTGGCTCACAAAGTGGTCTGAGGTCGCTAGCCAATGAATGACTGACCTAGAACGCAGGCGTGCCAGAGTCCTGATGAACTGAAATATTTCTTACTAAACTATTCTTATCGGGTCAGGTCACCGACCTAATGTGATTCAGGCAAAAGTTGGAAAGTAGGAATGACCCTCTCCTTAAGGTTGCTATTGCCTTTAAGAAAGGACTTTAAACATTCAATATAAATAATCAATTAGAAACAAATCAATTGAACAATAAATATACCTGAATCTGCAAACCTTTCTTCATTGAACTTGACTGATTACAATGATGAATGAATTACAAACTCTTGATTGAAATGAAAACTAAAGTATTGAATGCTGAAAGATGAACTAAGTACTAAACTGATAGTGCTAAACTGAACTTGATGAAATAAAAGCTAAGTGCTAAACTGAACTTGATGAAATAAAAGCTAAGTGCTAAGTGATATGAATGCTAAAGGTTTGTAATTTAGAAATGGTCTTAGACCTCTTCCTTGTGAGGCTTGAGTGGGTATTTATAGAAGTCTCCACCTGGTGTTGTCCCTTTCAAACCGTTTTTCTAGAAATTAATTGGTTGTAAGCAGAAAGTGACTCCTCTTAACCACCTTGCTGAGCTGGTCAGGTTAACTAACTTACACATCTCTCTATGGGCAGATACAAATGTGTCTGACATAGTATTTTTTATTAAAAGGGTGCATATTCTTTCATGCTTGATGATTTTGGTCTTCAAGCCATTTTCAGCTTTCTGCACCTGTCATGTCTGGCTTGATCTATACATTACCTTGGAATCATCTGATTACTGACAATTCTGACTTTCTTCATCAAATGTAGGTGAAAACCTTCCATCTGTAGTTCTGAACCGTTGGACCTCTAACATTATCAAGTTGTCCTTTTCCATTTCAAGCTTTCTTTAAGCTTCCAGACCTGACTTGTTAGGTTCTTGAAACATTGGGATTCACAGCCGGTCTTTATTTGAATTACACCAAAGATTCTTCAAGTGATTATAACCCGATATTCCTGATCATGACCATATATGGCTATGAGTCTTGATCATGGCCATAGTGACTCTGAGAGTCTCAGTCATTGTGGCTGAAAGAGTTATGACTATAGTGACTGAGAGAAATAATGGTCGAGACTCTTGATCATAGCAATAGAAACTGAGAATCTAATAACCATTGTGACTGAGAGTCCTATGACCATTGTGACTCTGAGAATCTTGGTTGAACTCGTGATCATGACCATTGTGACTGAGAGTCTCATGACCATAGTGACTGGGAGAATTTTGGTTGAGACTCATGATCATGACCATTGAGACTGAGAGTCTCGGTCATGGCCTAATGACTGAAAGAGTCTTGGTCATGAAAGTTGAATGATGAAGAGAGTCATGATGCTTAGGCTCAAGTTCTTATTGCTTAAGAGAAGAAGAGATTTGGAGCTTCAAGAAACTTTGTGCCATTGTCAGAGAAACGATGCAACAAGTGTGGAAGAAATGGGCATATTCAATGGTATTATCCAGAAAGAAAGGAGAGTGCATCCATTGTCGTTGTTGTGTTTGAAGATACGAAAGAAGAGGGTGATAATAATGAAGCATTATCAATCATTGATAACAACGGAAAAGCTAAGGAATGGATACTTGATTCTGCTTATTTCTTTCATGTGTGTCCGCATAAAGAATGGTTTGCTACCTACAAACCTGTAAATGGTAAGGTATTTATGGGGAATAATGCCACTTATGATATTATGGGAATTGGAACAATTAAAATCAAAACAACGAACGGTTTGGTAAGAACTCTAACGAATGTACGATATATTCCAAGTGTTAGAAGGAATGTGATCTCTGTGGGAGCATTGGATTCCATAGGTTGCTGGTGTGAAATGAATAATGGATTGATGAAGATTAGAAGAGGGCCACGTATCATGCTTTTGGGAAGGAAGCTTAACAATTTCTATATTTTGTTGGGAAATACATGCTAGGTGGAGCAATTACAAAGACGGACTGAAAACCTGTTTCGAGATATACTAGAATAAAGAATCAAGAACAACAAGAGAAGGAAGAAGTCTTGACAATTGCAAGAGTACCGGCCTTTATTCCAAAAACAAGAAAAGATCAATTTGGTGATGCGAAAGTAGATTCCAAGTTTAATTATTTGAACTTGGAATTTGCTAAGAATAGATGAATATAATGGTGCAGTGAAGAACGACAAGGAAAAGAGTGATGAATTTGAGAAAAGATAATTGTTAGAGTGTTTCTCAATTTCATCATAGTGATTTATTTGAGATGGAGAAATCTGTGTTCAATATGGAGCGATCTTCATTCGAGGTGGGGCTGTAGAGAAGTGTGTGAAGACCTATTTCGAGCCAAGGTGGAGATTGGTTAGTTTATGACTCAAAATTGTGTACATAAATTAATTTCCTTTTCTGTTTTGGAATATTGAAATTTGTGAAGAAAATTGTGTCCTATAAAGTTCTTATTTTAGAGTTGGGATTGATATGGTAATTCCTTATAGATAAGTTGGGAAATACTTGTCTAACAAGGATTTGGGTTTGAAAATTCTATAAATAGATATGGGTATGAGAAAGAGAAAATTGTAGAGAGAAAAAGAGAATTGACATTGTGAGAGAGAAAAAAGTGTGTAATTAAGTTTTTGAAGTAAAATTGGTCATTTTTCGTCCATGAATTAGTTAATTTGCCAAACCACGCAAACCCCGTTTTTTTTACTTGTGTGTAATTTTTTTGTTATGTGTTATATGTGCCAATTGTGGGAGTAAAACTCTAACAAGGACCGCAACGACCCAAACAAGAATCTACCACATGATTTAAGGTCATTCATCCAAGGACAACGAGCCCTACTTGATTTCACACAAGGACCGCAGCCCAAATTTCATTAAATTAACGCATTCCACTGTTAGTATGTATATATATATATATATATATACACAATCCTTTTAAAACTATTAAAAGTTCGGTTTTCCCAGTCCTGCCAATACTCAATTTGCAAGCAACAATTAAATCACATCCCCCAATTAATTTCATGACCCAAGTTGCTCCAATTTCATTTTGTAAACATCTAACTTTGAAGTCTGAACTATTTATTGAAGCGGTCTGCAAATCAATTCCCATTTCTAATACTCCTTATATCATTAATCAATAATACTATCACCATCATCAAGGTTGTCGGCATCAGTACTTCTAACATGTCGTCGAGAATTTTGATTAAAATATAATAATCTCCGTGAATTATATATATATATATATATATATATATATATATATATATATATCATGTCTGGTATGTATATGTGTGCATAGCGGATCACGGATTGAAACCGATCCAGGTGCGTCCCAGTAATGAAAATGCGAGAGAAATGAAAGCAATATATAGTAGTGGTGGAAAGACGTACCATGGTGGTGGAAAACTTGCGCAAGTTATTATAAATCTTATTTCTTCCCCACTGCAATTTCTCCCTAAACATGACAACAAAAATTAATGAAATTCATCAATATCACACAGTGTGTGTGAGAGAAAGAGCAAGAGAAAAGGGAGAGAGAGAGAGAGAGAACTTGAGTATGCGAAGGGCAGCTGGTAATTTGTGTTTGATGCGTTGAATATTCAATTCTCCGTCGTGATTAATTTCGCAGGAAATATTGGCACAACCAACCACATCTTGTGATAGTTCAAATCGGCCAGCGTAAACCCCATCCGTGAAAAACATTAGGTATGTATGGTTTGCAGAATCGGGAAACAAAGATTGAGATAACACTTTCTGAGTTTTACGTGGTTCTATTCTGATGATTTTTCTATACTTGTCTGGTCTGTCCGGGGGCGTGAAAACTCTGATTTCCATTTCCACACTAGATCTATTCTCAAATTCAATCACTCTACCACTATCACTCATTGTTCATGTGTTCGTGCGCGTGTGCGAGTGTCTGCGTGCTCGTGTGCAAGCGTGCGCCTGGGTTGAAGAGAGTCTCAGAAGAAGAGAGGATTTAGTACTACTTAATTATATATGGAGGAGCCCACATTAATCATCATAGTAGACATCGAAGAAAATAATAATAATAATAATAATTTTCCATTCCATCAAAAGTTCTATATAGATTTCCACGCCATTTGCTTATATTTTTTAGAAAGTTTCCTAAGTTCTGCTACCACCTCCAGTGATTGTCGTACGTGAAAACATATAATTACGACAATCACTAAAAACATATAATTACGACAATCACTGGAGGTGGTAGCAGAACCTAGGAAACTTCCTAGAAAATATAAGCAAATAGCGTGGAAATCTATATAGAACTTTTGATGGAATGGAAAATTATTATTATTATTATTATTTTCTTCGATGTCTACTATGATGATTAATGTGGGCTCCTCCATATATAATTAAGTAGTACTAAATCCTCTCTTCTAGTTTCCTAGGTACTGCTACCACCTCCGGTGATTATCGTACGGAAAACATATAATTACCAAAATCACTGGAGGTGGAAACAAGTAGTTGAAGAGTCGTGAACAAACCTGCTGCGTCTCCTTTATGGCTTCATATATATATATACATATATGTGCTTGTATATCCATTGTGTGTCATGTGGATGCATGTGTGTTTGTGTACCGTTCTTTTTCGGGTCTAGTTTCGACTCGGTCCTTTATTTTTCAAATGAGCCGAAACTGAAGGAAAAAACTTTGATATAGGACGAGCCCACATTCTTGCTTTCTACCCATTCACGCGCATTCTAAGCATAATTTCAACTTGGTCATTACTCTTGTTTAAAATAAATTTCAAAGTTTTCTACAAGTAGGGTCCAACTTGTCAGTTATTGGATAATTGGATTACTTTTTTTTATATATTTCTCTTATTTGATGACTCAATTTTTTTGATTTTTCATGTGATTATCACAATAACGCCAAAAAAATTATTTTCAAGTATGCTATTATTATTATTATTATTATTATTCAGTTTTCTAACCCTTTTAATTTTTATGAATTTGTGTACTCGACCATCCCCTAAACTGTGTATTATGTGGTATGAATTCGAACATTTTTGTCTTGTGTAATTATGTGTTATAATTATTAGATTTTTAAATCAACGAGATTGGGAGAATGTTAATTTTTTTTTAGCAGGCATTTTATTTTTCAGGGTAAGATAGATTTGTGTGTGTGTGTGTGTGTGTGTGTGTGTGTGTGTGTGGAGTTTTCGCATGGACATATTTCACAATTTTCACTCATTGGGCCGGCCATGTAATAATCCCTTAAAAAAAGTGTGTAACAATTAACCAGAGAATTGTTAACGCTTAAAGCAATATTTCAATTATGTTTTTTTCGGAAGGTAGCAATATTTCAATTATTGACTATGCTTAGTAGGGTGTCGGCACATGTATCATTCCTTGTGGATATTTTTGATAAAAAGTGAAAGTGAAAGAAAATAGAGGAAATGAAAAGAAAATCAACTTTTCATCTTGTATTTGGTTAGTAAGAAAATTTTTCAAGAAAATTGTGAGAAAATATTATTTTGTGAGTTTGGAAAAAATGAAAGTAAAAAAAAAAAAAAAAAATGATTGTAGTTCGCAAAACTACCCTTTTAATTATAAAATTACTTTATACTCTTTTGAAATACTATCATATCTCCTGAATTATGAATAAAATTGAAATTTCAAGTTTAAAATAATGAACATTATAGTATTTGTCTTCTAATGTTTAATAATTAGATATATGTGATTATAGGGGCAAGTTTAACTAATAAAAATTTTTGATCCGAAAAATCTTGAGGATAACAGGTTGAAGTTAATATATATAATTTTAGTAATGGAATAAAAAGAAAAAGAAAAGAAGTTTAGTCCAATTGAAATAAAGTACTTGGAACTAAATTAGTTTGGTACATTTAATATACGTAGAGTTAAAATTAAGTGAGTTTGGTACATGTAATATACCTTGAGTCTAAAAGTCACGAGAAGTTTATGTATAAAAAAATACATGTATGAATTAGATTATAATTTCAAAACTTGTATACACAAAGACACTAACCTAATCTTTCACCCAACTCTGTTACTAAATACTCAGAGATATATATTTCACTCTTAATCATTATTAATTATGAAAAGAAAAAAAATACAATAAAAATTTAATTTTGTATGCACATATAAAACTATATACAATTAAATTAATATTACATTATCTTATAAGCAAATTTACAAAAGAGTGAAACTCACTTGTTAAAGAAGTTTGTGGAGAAAGTGAAGGAGAGTGACATGGGCATAATAGGAAACTCAGATATGAAGGCACCACTTTTACGGAAAAGTAAAATTTTCTAGTGTTTTATGTCAGAATTTTTTTAAAAAAAATTAAGCCGTTGCAAGAAAATTATTTTCTGAAAATATTCTCTTTCGTGCTAACCAAACTCCTAACAAATTTAAATATTTTTCATTTCTTTTCATTTATATCTACTTCATGTTAACCAAACGAACCCTGTGTGAAAGCTTACTTGAGTAAGCTTTGGTGTCCAAACGAACAAAAAAGAAAAAGCTTCGGTGTTCGAAGTTGCAACAAATTTGTGGACAAGAAGATGGAAGACGAGAGAATGTTGTTGTCTATGCAGCTTTAGTTTGTGGATGTAGATAATCACGTTTTGTCATGATCCACGTGGCATTATCGGTCAATGAGGTATACCTGGCCAACTTTGGTGGGACCATTTCCAATTCTACTTGGCACCTCCTTGATAAAACTAGTAGTCTCGAGCTATTAGGTCTGGAATAGCGCATGCTGAACTCGTAAGGGTAAGGGGTCGCCACCCTTCACTCTCCTATGGAGGTACCCCGCTAGCTCTAGTCGGATGGGTCTCTCCATTCCCTTCCTGAAGCTTTCTACTGCAAAGGAAGCTCACTACTTATTCATTAAAGAGATTTCCCACCTCGAACACCCTTGCAAAAAGAGTGCTCGAGGTACGAGCTGTAACGACACGAATTCGGAGGTCCAAATCACTAACCAGGTCCTAACCCGGTTCACAAATACACAAGGGAAAAATGGTCATTTAATGTCATGATATCCATTATAAAGTCTATTTCGTCCCATTAATTAATAATAAGATCAATTAACAATGTTGCGTTGAAGTACTACGAAGTCCGGACTTGAAAGTGTAAAGGAAAAAGAGGAAAAATTTGACTAAGGTAAGGACGACCATTGGTCGTCATCCTGCGACCCCAACGAGCGCAAGGCGCCGCATGTAATGTCCCTGTATTTTAAATGAATTATTTAATGAGATTAATTATTTTTATTTTATTTTAAATAATTTATTTGATTTAATTGGGTGTTTTTATTAATTATCTTGTTTTAATTAAATTATATTCCGTGATTTTATTTAATGATTTGGCATGTGTTATTCTTTGATTTGAATGCATTGATTGAGTGTGTTGTTTGGCTATATTGAGTTTGTGTTAATTATTTTGTAATTATTTGATTATAGTATTTGTTTTATTTAATTAATTTTCAAATATTGGGTTAAGTAGGTGGTCTTAGATTTTGGAAGAGGGTCTTAATGGGCCAAAAATTATTATGGTGATGGGTATATATATATATATATATATATATTACATGAGTTATTTATTTTGAGAGTTATTACAATGTTATATTTAACCAAACTTGGAAAAAGTGTCTTTGTGGCCGGTAGTAATTGACCTCTATGACTGGTGGTGTGTTTTTTGATTGATCCATACGGACCACACCTTTTAAGTGCTTTGACCGGTGTAAAAGCCTTTCTAAAAGCGCTTGTTTTTTTTAACGTCTTATGGAGAGAACCTTTTGATATCTCAAAGGGGTGACGTCAATGTATGCCTTCAGTTGCTTTTGTCTTTTCTTAAGGGAAAATTACATATAAATGGAGTCAAAGTTCCATATTTACTTAGAGGCTGAGTCAAAGTTTCATATTTCTCTAAAATGGATTGCTGAGGTGACACATGGTTTTTTACTGTTTAGAAATTGTGGTGCCTAAAATACCCTTCCGCGAAGGTACTATTTTTTCTTCGAAGGTACTACTTTTTTGAACTGAAGGTACTACTTTTTGGCGTCCAGGTACCATATTTTTTAAACATCCGCGAAGGTACTACTTTTTCTCCGAAGGTACTACCTTTTTGAACTAAAGATACTACTTTTTTGAATTGAAGATACTACTTTTTTATTAGGGAAGGGCATTTTAGGCACCATAATTTTCTAAACAGTAAAAAACCATGTGCCACCTCAGCAATCCATTTTAGAGAAATATGAAACTTTGACTCAGTCTCTAAGTAAATATGAAACTTTAACTCCATTTATATGTAATTATCCCTTTTCTTAATTTGGATGAATATCATAAGTGTGATGTTTATATGCTTTCAATTATTTTCTGTTCTTATTATCTTTGTCCGTACAGGGTATATATTTACAATAAGCCGAGGGGGAAAAAATGTTATTTGTGTTATATATATATATGGTAAACATGGAGAGCAGTTTTGGGGGAGCTAACCCATGTTAATTTAGTTGGGCTATATTTCTAACATACTTCTATCGAAATTAGGATTCTAATTCTGACGGATTGGAGGTTCAGTTCAAACCCAACTCAATATATAAAATGTTCAATCCAAATTTAATTTTAATCTTATTTTTAACTTTAATTATTTAATCTGAATGCAACTCATCATTCTATTTTTAAATTCGAGTTTGTAATTATGGTGAATTACCTTAATAGTCAATCTTCACACTGAAAATTTAATGTGATTTTTAGTTAGTTTTAGCTTAAATTAATGGTAAACACAAAAAAATATATGTAACATATAAAAAATAAAATATATATATATAATATTAGACTTCGAATTCGATTGATCTTGAGTTATTAGTATCTCAACTCAAACGCTACCTTGATTAAATTTGAAATAATAATTTTTAAGTCAAATCCAACACTAATGGTAAAAATAGTCGTGAAAGCCTGCAAAAAAAAAAAATAAATAAATAAATAAAATGGAGCTGATCTCGGATTGGGTTTTCTGGTCGCGCCCCTAGGAAACACTGATCTCGGATTGGGTTTTCTGGTCTCACCCCTAGGAAACCCCAGCTGTAAGATGCTTTGGACGCCTTCAATAGGCCAGCCCACCTCCTCAGAAAATGTGCCTCATCTGCCACTGTTTTTGTAATCCAACTGGGGAAGAAAGAATTTTAAAAACTTCTTATATATTAAAATTGAATATATAAATAAAAATTTCAATACGCAAATAAATAAATAGAAATTCCAATCAGTAACAAGGGTTTATTCGTTTATCAATCTAGTATATGTTGAATTGAATATGTTAAGTGTGCAAATGAAGGTTACTCCTTCTGTCTTATTATAGTTTTCAAAACAAGACTTTTATTTTATTTATTTATTTTTTAAAATAAAGCGAATAATTTCAATTTTGTGGTGGGTCCCACCCATTACTATCATTTTTTTTTCCAAAAGAAAAAACACAGAAGTGGGACAACCAAATGAAAAGATTGACGAAATGGCACGATTATTCTGTTTATTTATAATTTCCCAAACCTAGAAGGCTCTACAATCCTTGGAGTGAGAAATGGAAGTGGGTGGCCGACAAGCAGAGAGAGGTTAGACAGAGCAAAAGTATCATTCCTTGGTTATCGTCGCAGGAGATATTGGCACCGCATCATCCTCTCTCCTGTTCGGCCTCCCGAGGATGAGTAGTGGTTTGTGGGTGCCAATACTCCTGTGACCGAAAAGCAAGGAATGGAGATCGGAGGCGGTTTCAGGCGAAGCCGAATCCGCTAAAGCAGGATCTCTCTATCTCCAACTTCATTTATATGTATGTATGTGATATTCACTTGCTATCTTGTTATCCTCTAATATTTTGTGAATTTTGTTTGTTTTACCACGATTCTAAAACCTAGATGTAAGAGATTAAAAGTATTTTGAGTTTTGAATGCCGATCTGAGATATCAAATATTCTCAGCTGCCGGCCGGTAGCTTTTTATTTTATTTTTATTTTTATTTTATAAGAAATTGTTACGAATAATTTGTTAAAAATTTAATTAAATTACATTAATACTAGTAGAAGTTTAATATAAATATTATTATACTAATTAAATTACCTGTTCGGCCTCCCGAGGATGAGTAGAGGTTTGTGGGTGCCAATACTCCTGTGACCGAAAAGCAAGGAATGGACATCGGAGGCGTTTCAGGCGAAGCCGAATCCGCTAAACCTCCAACTTCATTTGTATGTATGTATGTGATATTCTCTTGCTGTCTTTTTATCCTCTAATATTTTGTGAATTTTGTTTTTTTACTGCTTATGTTCTGTTTTTTTTTTTTTTTTTTTTTTTTTTTTTTGTTCATGTATATAGTAATTTTTCCACGATTCAGGTTATTTAGATTATTGGGTAGAGTTTTTGTTGGTGTGTTTGATTCACGAATATGGATTTGGGACTTGGATAAAGTTTAATGGCATTGGGATCTAGTGATTTTGAATGAACATAGTTAACTTATCAACTAATTATGATGATAAAAATTATGATTGAAATAATATTCTTGGTAAATATAATTTAATTAGTATTATAATATTTATATTAAACTTGTACTAGTATTAATGTAATTTAATTATATTTTTAATAAATTATTCGTAACAATTTCCTATAAAATAAAAAGCTACCGGCCGGCGACTGAGAATATTTGATATCTCAGATCGGCATTCAAAACTCAAAATACTTTTAATCTCTCACATCTAGGTTTTAGAATCGTGGAGAAGAAGAAGAAGAAGGGGAAATAAGCGATTAAGCTGAATCGCCTTTTTTTTTTACCCTTTTTTCACTTCGCCGGTGGAGACTATTTTTTTGCGATTCTTTTGTTTTAACGATTTCCTATTCTTCCCAAGGCAGGCACTGAGCCACGCGATGAAGAGAGAATTCTCTAGAAATGGGGCAGGAAGCTTTGCTTGTTTTTTTCCCCTTTTTTCACTGCTTAAATGGCGACTTTGTGGTGGAGGTGGAGGTGGAGGTGGAGGTGGAGGTGGAGGTGGAGGTGGAGGTGAAGGCGGCGGTAGCAGTGACGGTGGCAGGTGGAGGTGGAGGTGGAGGTAGCAGTGACGGTGGCAGAAGGTTGTGGGACAATGGCGGTGAAGGCGATGGTGGAGGGGGTGGCAGTGGAAAGCAGTGATAGTGCTGGCGGTGGTGGAAGGGAAAAGTAATGGCTGTGGCTGTAGTAAAAAGTAGCGGTAAAAGGCAATGGAGGTACCAACACACATATAGACACACACACATATATATATATCCACACATATAGACACACACACACACATATATATGTGTGTATACAGATACAAACATATATATATCCACACACACAAGGCGAGGACGGGTGGCGGCGAGCTGTCGTTAAAGAGAATAGCACTGGTGAATTAGATGATGATGATGTCGACGGCGGCAGAGGCGGCGACGGTGGTTTTGAGATCTGCAAATCGCGTGAACTTCACGCACCCACATTCGGCTTCTTCCTTTAATACCCACTGCAGCCACCGACCACCACTCGTTTTAACACCATCCCACCTGAAAATCAACACCCAAAAGCCATACTCAATTTTCTTTTTCTTTGCTCATATATGTATATATATACCACCCGTTTCATATATATATATATATATATATATACTGAAGAAATTTGTTGTGTTCTTCTTTCTTGGTCTGTTTTCTTTCTTTCTTTATGGCTGTGGCTGTGGCTGTGGCTGTGTATAGAGAGAGAAAGACACGGTATTTTTGAGAGGGGGCCAAGGGTAATTTGGTTATTTAATTATTTTGATATTTTATAAGTATAATTAATTAAATAGTGAAGGGTAAAATTTACTTTTCACGAAATTTTAGGCTCTATTTGGATTGTAAATTTGATAAAGGGGTGTCTTGTTCTAAAATAAATTAAGTTTCATATGAGTGTTCTTTTACCGAACATCATAGGTGTTAGTGTACTTTATCCTTTATTATAATAGAATAGTAATTCTCCGTTTAAATTTCATGACAAATGAATGAATAGTTAAAATTTCATAACAAATGAATTAATAGTTAGAAGGAATATTTCATTCTATTCCATTTTATTTTGAGCGGTGATTTAAGAATCAAATTTGATAGTTATGAATTTAAGACGGCATGGTGATATCAGGATAAAGTCTATCACCTCACACACGTATACTTGACAAATTTAATCCTTAAATCGTTCTTCTTTTTTTATTTTCTTTTTTCTTTTTTCTTTTTTTTTTTTGCGCATAAATGGTAAGAAAAAAAATTTCATCCCACTTAATTTCATTTTTGTGTACCGAACATGGCATTAACGTACGAGTATTTTTTCATTCGCAAAGTGAAAACATTACCTAAAAAGGAACACACAAAAAATAATAATAATAATAATGAAAAAAATTCAATAATTAAAGGCAGTGAACAGCTGTAAACCATTATAGCATCATGGTTTACAGTTTGTAGATAATTATTTTGAAACAAAAAGTGGTGATGCGAATTCTATGTTGTCATGACATGAACTTCCTTCCACTAAGGTGTTTAAAAAAATAATCTAACTATTACGTACTCAATTGCAAAAAATTCTCTTTCTGAATATTTTTGATAAAAAGAAAAAAATAAAAAACCCTCAACAATCCTAAAGAGGTGTTTATAATTGATGTCTATTTAAGTAATTTTTTGAACTAAATTATTCCTTAACAAATTATTCTTCAAACAAATTTATTTTTTTTAACAACAAATTAGGCTTATCGACGCAAAACATTTTGGGGGCGAAAAGCCCATATTGTGGTAAAAAATTAGTTGACACGGAAAAAACATAAAAAAAATAAAAAATTACATTATTTACTTTAAATGAACTCAATGTTTCACAATTTTTTTAAAATAAATAAATAAATAAACAATCCTTGCTTCAATAGAGATATAACATCATCATCGTTTAAATGAGAGTATTACTAAATTGTCACATAAAGGAAAATTATATAATCTGAACATCCATAACCAATGAAATGATCACCTTTGCTTCCTTTTCATGATTAGCACATTTCATCTATCGTCCCATTTTCATCAAAAGAATGCATATGCAGCTGAAAAATATAAAGAAAACAGTAAGAAAAATATGCCAATTTCTTTGCAAAAAGAAAGAAGAAGAAGAAGAAGAAGAAGTAATAAGTATGTTGTTTTCATCTTTATAGCATATACAGAGTGGGAATAGAGGTTAATTGACAGATTTGCTGAGTAGAAGTCAAGAGACTTGCCCTAACATACAAAGCAAGAACGAGAATTTAAGTCCAGTTAAATCAACAAGAAATTACCAGAATAAGACCAATAATCTTTCCCGGTGGCACTCTGCTATGCCCCTTCGCCGAGGTTAGCCATATCAAATTCCTGCATAGTTAAAAGTTATGAAGAAGTTCACAAAAAAAAAAAAAGTTCAAAATAACGATGCACCAATCACCAAACGGTATCGAGAAGTTACAGAATCTGTAATTATCTATCTTGGACATGCAGTGAAATTTGTAAGTGTGGTGTAGACTGAAATTGTGAACAAAGAAAATTACTCAGACCAGACGTGGACTAGGAACAACATTTAACCATACTACCTTCATTCAACAAATATAATTTAATAGAGGGCCTGAAAAAAGGTAAACTTTCGGTGTCTTCAATTTTTAAATAACTTTATTTGTTGCTACTTGCTATCACGGCTCGATGCTAAGGTGGATGATGCTCTTAGAGCATCTCCAATGGCCGAAAAAAAAAAAATAGTCTCAAACTCAAAATGTAAGTGAATGAAAATATAGCACTCCAACGACCTCTCATATTTTGAGATTTTTAAATGCACTTCAACAATCTCTCAAAAGATCTCTCATATTTTGAGATTTTTAAATGTATATTTAAATATAGCACCTCTCAAATGACCTCTCAAATTCAAAATATAACAAGTGGATGAAAATAGGCACTCCAATAAACCCTCTCAAAAGACCACTTATATGAGATTGTCAAAAGTTACTAAAATGAAAATAAAGTACTCCAATGAGCTCTCAAAATATAAAATGGTTGTTGTGTCAAAAAATAACATTTCGAATTAAATACCCCATTAGAGCATAATTGTAAAAATATAATATTTTGACACTGTAATTTTTATCAAAATATAGACTTGATATGAAAATGTAATATTTTGTATTAGAGACCCTTTTCAAGGGTCTAAATGTATGAGTAATCACTTTTGAAGAAGGGAAGTGTCGTGCCCAATTTTCAACCTGCACTGCTCCGAGGGTGGTTTTGTAAAAATAATGTTTGAAATGGAACAATGCTTATTGAAAGACACGCCACGGAACTTGTGTCGGACACCCTGCGAAGCTCCCTAGTTTTCTGGTTTGAAGTTTACAGAGGTTGAAGAAAGACCTGTGGAAGACAGAGAAATTTGTTCCTTAATTTTTTATTCATATAATATATGTATGTAGATTTTTTAATACTCCCGTGCTCACTGTTTTTTTAGGTTAGGATCATCATTGTAATATTATATTATTATAGGTATATTACAGTTGTGGATATCAATCATTATAATATTATATAGTACTATGTTACAGCAATAATTATAGTATAATATTATATTACTACTTTCAAGAAAGTGGTTTGGAGGGCCCATTAACCAAGTGTGTCCATTAACATGACTAACATGTCAATGGCTTTACAACTGGAGGAGGCTTGCATGTACCATCATTATAATATTATATTATTATATATATTACAGCTGTGGGTTACACTGTAACCCACGTCCATTTCACACATACAAATTCATCGGCTAGGCTATTTGGGTGTTTGAATTATTGTTGGGCCTCTATTATTTTGGACTGACATCCGGGCCTTCCCAACTCCTCTGTACAACATATATGAAGTGTCCAAGCACTCGTATCCGAATTTTGAACACTTATATTACGTGTTTTTGTGTCCTATAATTTGATAGATAGATGAATCCGACCTCTAGACACCTACCCGTGTCCGGACACCCCACACCCGAGTCCTAGGCGAACACATAAGCGTAAGAAACTCATCTCTCACTATATTTAGGGCCATTTACCAACCAAACCATTGGTACAACTTCAATATAGATCTTTGGGATATCCCACACTGCTATATCTGTTTTAAACAAGCCAAGAAAAGATAACTGCTATACCTCTGCCTCATAGAAAAACATAAAGAGTGTTGTTGTAGAGAGACTCTCATGTCCTGACAACGGCTAGTAAGTGGGGTGAAGATTGGAATAGTCCCTCCATAAGAAGGATCCGTTGTCACCCAGGCATTGCACTGGTTTCCAAAGAACGTTGGCACTTCTCCTACTCGGGTGTCTAAGTAATCTTTTTATTCCATTAGGCTTCGTTTGAATTGAGGGATTTAGGGGAATTTGAAGAGAAAAGAAAGCAAAGGATAGTGATTAGTGTGTTTGGATGGGAAGAATAGAAGAAAAAAGAAAGGATTTGGAGGCTCATTTGAAAATCCTCCAAAATTGACAAAATTTGGAGAGAAATGGAGCAAATTACAAAAGCAACCATGAGATAAGGGGCAAACTTGGTTGAGAGAAGGATAAAATGATAAATTATTCATTTTTTTCTTTTCTTTTCTATCCATCCAAACTACCCATTCCTTTCTTCTCCCTACTATCCATCCAAACATGAATATTATTATATCTATCATTTCTTATCTTTTCTTTTATTTTATAATCCTTTCCTTTCTTTTCTTTTCTCTCCTGTGCATCCAAACGAAGCCTTAGGGATTTAAACGAGGACTCTCATGTCCTGACATAGACTGTTTGGAAGACAACTATAGTAAATTGGTTGGGATAGGCCTAGAACCGAACTTTCAGCAGCACTTCCAATTTCAGAAGTTCCAATTGTGTTAATTGAAGTAGCAGTGTCAGATTGCTGAGGAGAGGAAGTAAATATCTCCTTCCTTTTTTGTCCTCCTTTTGCATTCAGGAAGCACTCTAGAAGTTGAGCTCTTTGAAGAAATGGGGAAGGCAAAGAAGCTAGGATTTATTTATCCTTACCTGACCAAAGTTCCACTTGCTTCAGAACAGAAGGACGAAAAGCTGAACAAGGACCAGCCATCTCATTCAGGAAGTAAACAGAAAGTTCCCTGTGATGGGGTTGACGGTAGCTGATGACAACCAGGAACACAGGTGATTGAGGAATCGTTCTTGCATAGCATTTGTCCAATTGGAAAAACAAAATCATGAGTACCATAATGCAACTTAGTTAACTGAACAGAAACAAAATCATGACTACAGTAATAAAGTGTAACTGATAGATGCAAAACCTGACATGAAAGGAAGCAAAAATGGTTTAATACACACTATCATCATGGAAGATCTCACAAATTCTGAAAACACAACAATGTTGATATTTGATCTAAAGCGTGCATCACACACACACACACAGAAACTTGAGTCTGCAAAAGGTAGGCAATCCAACTCCTTTTACACTAACTAGTCCATTTTCATCAAGAAATGAAGTGATCTTGTGCAATTCACCATGTGAAATGGAAGCAAAAGCATGCCTACATAAACCACCCCATCCTACCAGATTTTTGTACCTGCAACACATACTTCTTGTTGTAACTGCTTTGATTTTGTTTAGCTTCATCCTTACTATTATTCACTAGTTGGGGATAAAAACCTTGATTTCCATCTCCAAAATTGACCAATTCCCAAATCATAGCTCAAATTTTACTCATAAAATTTGGTGCATTGTGTTCGAGTGAGAGGTCTGTGGACAATTGTGTTAGAGAACCTCAGTCAGGGTTTATATCAAAGGCATCGATCACTAGGTACTACTAAACAGGAAGAAGAAAAAAAAACTGTTGAAAATTTCAGAATTTATATTGAACTTGAAGTGATGGCGGTAATCAACATCTTGTTCTTTGGCTTCTAGCAAAGAATATTGGTTTCCAGACCTACAATTTGTTTCTTGACATAGTTAATTTTTAATTTTATTATTAACTCTGAAGACAGTGCTAAACCCACAAATTAAAACTCAAGCACAACTCATTTTCAGGCCCCAGCATAAGAAAGATCTATAATTTTTGTGTCAGTAGACATATATATACATATATCAAAAACATATAAGTATATGCTGAAGATAGCAAAAACAATAGCATATTATTGAAGAAAGTGCTAAACCCACAAATTAAAACACAAGCACATCCCATTCTCAGCATAAGGAAGATCTATAATTTTTGTGTAGACATATATATATATATATAAACACATATACATATATCAAAAACATATTTATACCTGAACATGGCAAAAACAATCAAATTCATCAACAAACAAACAAAAAAATTTACCTAATAGCAAGAGTGTCATGAAGAAGTCATATAATGGTAGAATCAAATATTGTAAGAGCAAGAGAGAACATGAGGCCGCTGAAGACAATTCAGCTTGCCCTAAAACACATCTCATCTTCAATTCTCAGTCTTCTGATAGCCCATGATTTTTGCGTAAAAGACTGAACATTCCCACACCCAATAGACAAATTTTCTCAAGAAACAAACGGAAACAGAGAGGGCAGCAAAGAAAGTAGTGTGATTCACGCAAAAATCATTGGCTACAGCAGAAACTGAGCGGTGAAGGTGGGAGAAGTAGGGGCAATCTGGACCAGCTTCAGCAAATCTCAAGTACTCTGATTCACTCCGTGATCGTGAGCTTAATCTAGGGTTTTTGAAGTCGTTCACATCTTCAAAGTTTAGTTCTATCCAAAGAAATAGACGGGTCTCTGTGTATACGATTCATTTTATAAATAGGATAATTGTAAAGAAAAAGCCGTACAACCAGCGTTTGTAGTCCAACGGTTAGGATAATTGCCTTCCAAGCAATAGACCCGGGTTCGACTCCCGGCAAACGCATTTTACTACTTTTATATTAACTAAAGGATAAACAGTAACTTTTTATCTTTCAAAAAAGGAAAGGAAAGCTAATATTTTTAATGAAATTCTGCTAATATCAAATTTGCCCTTATATCTATAAAAAAAAAAAAAAAATTGTATCAAAAAGGCTATGATTATAAATTCATTACATTAATTTCTTTCCCCAAACATGATTACTATCATTTTCTTTCTGACCTCTCCTTTTTTAGGAAATGGAGAGATTTAAAAGGATACAATTTAGGCATCTTGATTGCTTTTGTTATCTTTTCAAAATTGGGAGGAAAGGGAATGATAGACAATAATTTTTAATAAAACTTTATTAATATTAATTTTGCCCTTATTTTTATAAAAGACAAAATCTATAAAGACGAGTATGATAATAAATTCATTAAAATAATTTTCTTTATTTTCTTTTCCCGAATATGATTACTATCATTTCTTTTGTTTTCATTTCTTAATCAACCAAATACGGTAGTGATTAACAATATCATCTCCTTCCTTTTCTTTTTCTTTCTCCCCTAACTAATCTTATCATTTCTTTTCTTTTCCACTATACCAAACATAGTGTTTAAGTGTGGGTGTCATGATTTACATTATTGGTCAAGTATAACGGACTCGGACAAAGTCAGCATAACTGGCCAATATAGATCGTTTATCGAACTTGAAAAAGAAATTCATATAAAGAATATTGATTTCATAATCAGAGTTACGTGGGATTTATATCATCATAAATTGACTTAGTCAAAGTGGTCGAAAACATTGGTGTGAATGGTGTGATTGATCCAAGCACATACTATGCTAGTCATGATTCGAATTAAACAATACACATGATTCCAAGCAGATAGTTCCAATGGGTGTGTAGGATTTTTTTGGTTGTTTATGCTTTCGACATTGATAGGGAAAATAAAAATTAGAAACTAACAACAAATTGAAGGAACAAGTTGTGCTTAGAACAAACAAATGCTACAAAAGGGAGGGTGTGCCACTATGAATCCAAATAACAAGAGCAACATTATTGGCTAACACATCACAATAGAGTTTACCATCCTGAAATTTCCATGAATTTGTGTAAAATTTTTAAATGCTTCATTTTCAATGAAGTCTGTTTATTGACTTCATTATATATTATGAGGTTCTTTTAACACACTTGTACACGAGTCTCTCATTTACACGCACAAACACACACTGCACCAAAATTTTACCGATTGTTGGATGGGAGCTAGGCTCACTGCATTTGAGAATAGGTCAGATGTGGAGATGGAAATTAGGGTTTTCGTGCCCCCGGCCCGGCCGGACCGGTATAAAAAAATCATTAGAATCAAACCAGGTGAAGTCAAGAAAGTAACAAGAAGTAGTTTATGTTGTGGGGATATGGAAAACCCTGTGTTCTTGATGGTTTTCATGGATGGAGTTTATACTGGGGTGTCTTTACTTCACTTCCAAGTGGTGAACCACGCAAAAATCATTGGCTATCTTGATGAAAATGGACTAGTAAATCTGAAAGGCACCAAATTTAGATTCCCTAGCTTTTGTACACTAAAGTTCTGTTTCTTTCTCTCTCGTAAGCATATTATATTGTTTATATAATCATTGTCATTTTGAAATTAATATTTGTGAAATTTACATGATCCAAAATTAAAAGAGGAATGATTTTGAATCTCTTCCGTTAGATGATTCATCTCATCTGATGAAAGAGATTAGAATACAAAATTATTTTGTTCATTCGAATATTGTTGCCTCAATCATTTCATTCGTTCTTCTAATTGAATTTTATTTTTAACAATTTTTAGGGGTTGTGGGTTGTGTTTTGACAGGTGAAATCATATTGTGAAGCTACAAGGATCAAAATGCTTCAATCTTGTGGTTGGACAACATGGACTCAAAAATAGAACTCTGTTTGGGACAACAATAAGTGCTGTGGTTTTAGCTAATCTGTCTGTCTAGTCATAAAGAATATAAAACTAGCTCTGTTGTGTTGTGAGTTAGTGAACTTATAAACTCTTCTGTGATTGTATCTTGAAGCCATTGTGGACTTTAAAGAGTTGGAAATTTTAATGATGATTCAGTCATATGTTTCAAGTTTCAAGTTTCTTAATTGGGCAAGCTTGATAGAATGCATTTCATCATTCAAAATTCAGTTGTTGCAGGCAGATTGAGACCTGTTGAAATGTAGTCATAAGATTGTAACCTAACGGTACTTTTTTCACAAAGTTGAGAGATGGATGCGTTCAACAGATGTTACATCTTCCTCTGCAAGAACTCACATACGAAACATATACACTTGATACTGCACTTTTCAGTTTTCAAATTGAAACTAGGAGTTGGTGTTTTTTCTTAGCCTCAAGACAAGGAATGGAACAAATAAATGGTTATGTTACTATTTCACCTTAAAATGAGAGTGGAAAAAACTTAGTATTAGGACAAAAGGTAGACATAAATTCAAGAGTGAACATGAACAAGGTATACTTCCAACAACAATGAACCAAACAACTCCCAAAATCATTTGAACAAGTCATCACATCATTCTAATTTTTCTTGTACAAAAATAAATAAATAAATAATAAAATAAAAATTAAAAGTATACCGATACTTGATTTAAGAGAATCTCATCACAGATGTCCACAAGCCCTTGATGGTTCGTTTCGAGATGATTGCAAATGAAGGAACTTGGAGAGACGAACAGAAACAACCTTCTCACGAATTCAAACTTGAACCCGAGTCCTCGTGCTTCTCAGAAGCTATCATTTCAAGTCCCGTCCTCAACGGTCACATTTTCAGTTCTTTGAAAACAATAAGTTAATCTCAAAATACAAAACCAGTCTCAACAATGAATTTAAAACCAAAGGCAAGACGGTATTTTACATCGATGGGCAGCAATCCTTCAATTTAAAGATTAGCCCTTACAGTACCACCCCAGACATGCCAATAACATTGACCAAGGTTGATGCACAGCATTCAATTCAGGACATCAGAGCAATGGTGTCAATAATCATAAATATCAAGAGAGCCTAAAGAAAAACCCAAAAATGAGGTAAAATAAAAAAATAAAAAAAATCAACCGAAAATGAGAAATGTGTGACTGCCGCATATGTTACAGTTGGACAATAGACTCTCTCTCCTAACATCTAAAGTACGACATGGAATCTAAAAATTAAAAAAAGAAAGAAAGATCTTTCATCACCATCTCAATTGTTCAGGCTATCCAAGAAGGTCTGCAACTCTTTCAAACCCTCTGCAGAAATGCTCCTCTGCACTCTTGACCGGGGCACAACCAAGTTCGGAGGAGGCTGGGATTGGAAGCACACCACAACCGCGGCTAAATTGTCGCCGCTCTTTCTTTTCAAAGCCTCGTCGACCAGATCCTTGCTACACATGACTGGGTCATTGTGCTCCTGAAGCTTTCGTCGAGCAAAATCCACAGCATTTTGGCTCATAAAAACGTCCCATATCCCGTCACAGCCTATGATGAGGAATTCATCCTCTCCTGTTAGTCTTGTGCTCATAAGTTCAGGCTCTGCACTCAGGGGGCCGCCATCCCCACCTTTCAATCCTTCCATGTGCCAGTCTCCTAATGCACGAGCAACGTTGAGTTGTCCATTGAGGTAACCATCATAGACGTATCCTCCGCAAGCTTCAATGCGCATCCTTTCTCTGGAGCAAATTGGTTTATGATCCCTTGACATTTCAATTGCTTTACCCCGGCGACAGAGCACTGCTCGGCAATCACCAGCATTTGCCACCACCAATGATCTGTGACCAGATATAAAGATCAACAAACAGGGAAGCAAACTCAGATAGAACACACATTAGTAATGATACATTCAAACTTCTTCAAAATACTAAACATGTTCCAGCCCCTGTTTTTTAATGTATGATAAGAGGACATCATTATAACTTGACAAACAACAGATTCCCAAATCCTAAGGCCTCGAATGAACTAAGATACTTCACATAGTTAACATGATCACGGTTAAAAAATATTGCGATTTATGTAAGCCTTAAACTCAAAATCCACTTTTAAAATGCAACATTAATTTGGAAACTTATTAAGAGATTAAGTGCAGGTTTTTGCTGTTTCCCATTGTTTCAGCCAACTTAACAAATCTCCTTGAAGTGTTGCAGCTATATGGTCAACAATTTTTTCTTTAGTCCATTTATCTTTATAATTCGTTATCAGAATAGGCATTTATTGTGCCCAATCTTCAATAGCTTTTTCTTGATTTTTAATATGTATATTAGAGAGATCAAGATATGTCCCATTTCGGGTGACAGTTTGTTTATTCATATCTTGCCTAGAGTAGATCGGGTTTGGATCACTACTCATGCTTCCTTCTACCTTCTTTACAAAAGATTTGTTTTATATGTATATATATATATATATATATATATAATATGTTATCATTAGTTTTCCATGCTGTTTCAATTGTATTACAAGTACCAAATTATTTTGGATCCAAGGGTTCATCTATTTTTCTTTTCGTAGATTGTGTCACATAGAAACAGTTTCAGCACAAAATATTATGTCTCTTAATGAAATTCACATGAATGAGGGCTTTAATTCATGAGATAAGTTAACTCATCCCAAAAAAGAATGAATTAAAAAATACAGTCGAAAACAGGGAGCCAAAAAAAAAAAGAGGCAGCCCACAAATTCTTGAACAGCAAATTAGAATGATCAAATTTAAAAAAAATAAATAAACAATAAATATATATTCAAAATGAATAGAAGAACAAAAAACACACAGCCCTGCCAAACGGCTAAAAGACTGATACTATAGACTCTGAAACCAAGCATAATGATTGTCTACAAATGATTGATGGATATTGGAAGCATCTGCATATTTGATTAATTGGTTGATAGGAAAACCCTAACCTCCCAACAACGAGAGCTGCCAATGCAGTGGTACCAGAAGCAAGGGCATCATCCAGTGAGCAAGCTTCTGCAAAAGCAGTGTCTGTCTGCAGAAATGCTGAAGCAAGAACCCTCTCAATCTCCTTTGGGAAGTCTTCATCCTCAACAACGAACCTTGGCAAATGGTAGCAAGCAAAGTCAGCCGCATGCTTTCCCCCATGACCATCAAAAATCTGACCCAACGAAGGACTTGTTAGGTATTGAATTGCACATTTATTAAATGCGCATAAAGACGCAATACATGTCAAACAATTGTTTCCATCTTATCCTGATTCCTGTAATTTAATCTCAGGCCCTAGACGGTAAAATTGGCAGTAATAGCCCTCTCAATTGAAATTCTGGAATAAAAGTTCTAGAGAGGAAAGTTTTTGGCAAAAAATAATCTGTTTCTACATTATATACCCTCAACCACTTATGTAAATTAAATCATGGAGTGGATGAAAGTTGTTAAACGCCTGCTTAAGGATACTATGCCAGCAATAAGGTTGATCTTTTTCTCTTCGCCTAAATAGCAAACATCATCACTAGCTATGTTTATAATGTGGTTTGTCTGATCCTGCATGAAAGCGTTTTAGCTGGAAAACTGGAGTTCTAAGTCACCTGTATGAAATGATAGATGGCACGTTTGTTTGTCCCAGAAAGCTTTTTAAGAACAAAAGAACTGGACCTCAACTCATACAAAGTATCTCAAGCTCTCAGCCTTGAAGATAAGTTTGAAGAACATTCTTGTGGGTACAAATCCCTTCTGACTATCAATTTTGGGAGTGGTGTTGGTGAATAGGCCATTGACTATCAAATATAGCCTTTTGGGAGGAATACCAATTACCACTAAATTTAGACGCAGCCATTAAAATGTTATTAGGTGGATTTGCATATTAGATAAGAATTTGCATTAATGGATATGACTGCTCTGACAACCTTTCTAACATTTTTACATACTGACTAGCCAAATCACAGAACTCCTAAAATCAAAGTGACCCACAAAAGAAAATAAAATAAAATGGACTTAAAGGGATTTTCTCTGAAAACTAAGGGAGGAAAATATATATATATCATTTAGTACACAGGTCCATGATGCCCTAATTTCTTGAGAACAGGTTGATATTGGTAACATTTGCTTTGAGTAATATATGACTATAAAAATCTCCAGTGTAAACTAAATCTTGTAGAATGATGTTCATCGCAATCAACTATGGATCCCACAAGGGTGTTTTTTTATGTTTTTTTTTTTGGTAAATCATTTCATTAAAACCGAGAAAGGAAATGTACAGGAAAGAGGCAATAGCGCAAAAGCTAAAGACCTACAAGCCCAAAGGCAAACAAGAACAAAACAAACCACCAATAAAAGAAGCCCAGCCCAATGACAATTACACCAACAGGAAAAAGCTGGAGCAATTGAAGCAGGGGAACTAAGGATCAAGAAGGACTGTGCTAGGAAGACTCCATGAAGCAGCAACTGCTCTAGATTCCTTGCAGTCGCAAACCAACTAACTCATTGTCAAGAGCTCTAGCTGCAATTCCAATCAACCGCAACTTTTGAGTTAGTTGTTGACGCATGAAAGCTAAGATATGTGCAGGCATTACTAAATACAGCATTACGATTGATCATATGAAGCAGTCATTTTCCCCCTAAAGCACAATTGTCACCATTCTGAACATGATCTCAAGAATCAAGCTAACCAACCACAACGAACCACTGCCTACTTAGCCATGTTTAAGGTAACATTTATCCGACTTTCATCAACATAATAAACATCAGAAGTGAGCAGCAATGCTCTATCAAGAACACCAATTGAAGGATTCAAGTGAAAACATTCTATAATATCTTCGCTTTAACAATTTTCTGACATTCTTAGATATTCTCATAATTTGTTGAGGTTTTACACAATATGTTCTTTTATGTTGAGCATGAAAATCATTGTCTACTTTTCCATGGTAATTTCCTTCATCTCAGATGATTTTATACTACACATTAACACACCAAAAGTGGTCTTTGTCACATAGCACAGTAGTTTTAATCTAAAATAACACATAAGTCACCAAGTAGCACAAGATAAAAAGTACAAGGCACTAGGACCTTCACGGAAACTCCTGACCCAATAATTATGCATAAAATGGTCAGCACAAACATATAGACCAAGTAGTACAAGAGAATAACAATACCCCGTAGAATGCACTGGGCCCTTCATTGAAATTCTTGACCCCATAATCATGCATAAAATTGTCAGCGCAAACATACACATCCTCCATGGTTGAGCGGAACCCAATGTCTGTCCATGCTCCTGAGCGAAGAATGGGAATAAACTCGGTCTCACAATTTTCTACTTGTGGTTCTGTTTCAATAGAAATATCCAGTGTCTTTGTCTTTACCTGCTGAAGCTTTAGTCAAAATCTTATTTCACATAAAAGCAAACACAACAGAAATAAAAAAAATAATTATGATACATATTTTTTAGTATCTAAAAGTAAATGGCCAACACTTAAACAATGACACCTGCCCAAAAGAATGAACAAGAAAAAGAAGAAGAAGAAGACTTTAATAATTATCTCACTTGAATAAAATGGAAAACGTCACCATTTAACAACATGTGCTAGTCAGATAGGCGTGCCAATAATAATGCTTTTTAAGAATTCATATTTGGTCTTAGGATCGATTCTTGCTAGGAGCAAAAAATTCCTTGGGGGGGGGGGGGGGGCGGGGGGGGGGGGGGGCTGGGTAATAATAATAATAAAACTCCTTACATGACCGCAATGAGGGTAAAGAAGCCACCACTCTTTAATAACATCTCGCAAAAGGGGTGATGCAGAGCAAGTGGAAGAAGACTATCTTCAAATAGTTGAGCATCCCTAGAAGAATTGCCTGAGTCTTCATGCATAGGGGCAGCTAATGATGAGTCAGACTGTGTGATCTTTTAAACAAATCTTAGTTCTGTTATTTCATGTTCAGGATATTATTGTAATTCAAATTTTATTTTATAAGTCATGTGCCTTTTAAGTGAGTCGTGTGAACATTTAAGGGTTGTCTTGTCATTTTAGCATTTTAATTCTGCTGGACAAAATTCTAGCTCTTAGATTATGTTTACATGAAGGGCTAGGGTTAAATCTTTGCTAGGGCATCCCTTGTGTCTTTGCTAAGGCCACTCAGTTTCCCTTTTCTTTCTGAAAGGTACTCTTTATTCTTTATTTCATCAAGAAGACAGACAAAGTGAGGCCAAAAAAAAAAAAAGGGGTTACATCTTCTCCTCCTCTTCTTTTTTCCTTCGTTTCCACCCCCCAAACCACAAACCCCCCCCCCCCCCCCCCCCCCCCCCAAAAAAAAAAAAAAACTCTTTTTGCCCCCTTTCTTGGAGATTCTGGTAATTGTAAGAAACATTCTCCGCTATGTTTATTCATCAACTAGCTAGCAAGACATTCCATATTAAAAACTAGTAGAAGAAAATAATGCCATATCCATTAAAGTAACTTTGCTTCACAAAGAAGCTAGTTATTTAACCTATTTAAATATGAAAATTGATTACAATAATGTAATCAAATTTTCAAAATTGATGGTGTAGATGTTCCGATTTGGGTGCTTAAGTAATTTAAGTTCTCTATTCTTTATACTCTATTCTTTGGGTTCGGAAATGGAATTGTAAATCAGTGGGGGGCTATAGTGAATTTTGTAGATTCTTTGTCCGAATAGCAGACCTTCTTGGTCTCGCTTTTGTTCTCGGGACTCCCTCCCCTTTTTAGTGCTCTTTAACATTATATCACTTACCAAAAAAGAAAATTGATTACAATAATGATGCCATGTACACACTAAATAAAGCAAAATATAATTAATTAAAAAAAAACAATTAGTAAGTACCAAGATCGGGTAAAGAATACAAGGCAAATCCCTATCCCAAAAAAAAAAATGAAAAGAAAACAAGAGAGAGAGAGAGAGAGGGAGGGAGGATACAAGATGACTTGAAATTAAAACTAAAACAGAAACAACAATTTGGAAATATATATATAAGATGACTTGAAATTTTTTCACGCCATCAAATTTAAATATACGAGTACTATACTTAAACTCAGTCCATTTTTTTTTATACAAATAAAATGTATACTTAAACTCAGTGCATGACTTCAATTAAACATTGATATTCATCCACCAGAATACTAAATAAAATATATCACCAACAAAAATAGCCTTCAACTTAATAAAATCCATTACAAACCGATATCAACTATAAAATCTTATCTCTATTACATGCCTATCTCTCACTACATGATCTTTCATGCTAAAACTAAAACTAAAATTAAAATAACAAAAACAGTAAAACTAAATGTCTCTAGACTAACATGTGTCTTCTCCGGTAAGCAACATTCTAACTAATCGACAATAACCAACATATATCTATTAGTTAATGACATTAATTATTATTATTACTCAATATTATTCAACAAGCAATGTATTATAAATAGATACACTAATCATACATACCAATTGGAATTACTTGGTCAATATGATTACATGTGGTCAAACATAATTTTAACTGGACTTACATAACACTAAGTTGTTATTCAACCTTTATTGCAATACCCAAAAACCTATGGCTAACCACCAAGCCATATACAACTTGAATAACTCATCCAAAATTAATCTATCAGATTCACACAATACAACCAAGAGAGTACACAACCTCCAAATGATTGCGGTCCAACACAATTTCTCCAATAACCACTTACCACATACCACCAATATGAGCTCATTTAATCAATAATAAGTGCACCATAAATCATCTGGACCCGCACATGGTTCGTCCATGTGATAGTGATTAAGGTCCTGCACACAGTTCGATTAGATCTCTTCTTGGTATTAGCATCAATCATAATGCACGCCCTTCAAACACAACGTCACACTCTCTTGGGGTGAGCCACACTCTCTTGCCTCACAAGTGGGGCTTCATTGCAAGGCCCATACTCACCTTTTTATCCACAAAGATTTACGTGGTTTGGCAAGGTCTACGTCCACGGTGAAGATATGGCGAAAGATTTCACTTTGTGAAAATCAAGATATTACAAGTTTCAGCCCCAAACCCTCTCTCACTCTCTCTATCTCTCTCTTTCCTACGGTTTTTAGTGTTCTCTCGTTATCCCACTCCAAACCCTAAACACCATTTTATATCGGACTACAAGAGGGTACTAAACAAGGTCCACAACCCACACAAGAAAGAACGGATCAAAAATTTTAGTGGGCTTGGGCTGAAACCGGGTCACAGCGCGACCTAGGCCGAAATAAAATTCAGCCCACAACATCACAATATCAGTTACCATAATCAAGGGTGATAAAACTCAATTGGCACACCCATAAATAAAACACACAATGGAATTTAATCCCTTTCAAGCCACCCTTGTTCATGTCAAGGATCACAAAAGTATATAACTCAATCCAGAAATTAACAGAACTTCTTAAGCAACCAAACCAAAGGTAAAGTAGCCACCACTCTTTAATATCATCATCCTGAAAAGGGGACCAAATGTCCACAAAGATGCATACGCCCTCTTACCGATTAGACATCAAGATATTGAATCTTCTATCAAATTTTCTTTAATTTCCTTAAGTTCCATGCAATTCATATGGAAATAATGCCAAAATGAGGGCCACCAAAGCATGAAACCAAAATTCATTAACATGAAGACTTAGCTTTAGGAGTTGATCCCCACTCAATTGCACCTATCTCAAAGAGGAACCAGGTAGAAAAGGTTAATTTACAATGGGCTACACGGTATTACCCTATAATAAGCCACATGAATTAGAAACCATTACTAGGGAAGTGCCCTCTTTATTTTAGATAAGTAATCAATGTTCAACATTTAAATGAATATACTTGTCAAAAAGAATTTAAATAAAGGTTTGACCTTGGGGTCTGAAAGGTTGCTTTGCAAGACAAGTTACTTTCCAAGTGAGCTGAAAAAAGGGGTAAAAATTTAGCACTCAAAGTATAGTACAAGAAAGAAAAGAGCTCAATGTCTATAGCCCAAAATCCATATTCCATCCAACTCAATGAAGCCTTTTCTAGTGCAATATAATATGCAAAACTCAATGCGAAAAGAAATTAGATAGACATACATTGAGAGCATGGGCGGGCAGTAATCCACTAGAGACACTTTTAAAGCGGAAATTTTTGTTTAAAGAAAGAAAGGGAAAAAAAAAAAATCACAGTAAATGTACTTTAAAAGGAAACATTTATAATGGAAAGCATAGAATCTTATTTTGTCCTATGATGACTAACAAGTGAAAGAATCAGCTGCTGATTCTGAATATAACAAGCATCCAAAGGTGACTAAGATGCCATCAACTTCTTCCATGCAGCAACAGTGTAGTTGCCCGATGATCTCTTGAATGCATAGGGTCCAGCAGCCAGTATATCTCGCACATAAACCTCAATTGCCTAATCCTCCCATGTATGACATGAACAAGTAAGCATGCCAAACTAAAAGTGTGAGTGGACAACATGCAATATATGGGGTGACTTCATATGCTGCACCACCATGCTTCCACTAAAAACATGTGGAATATAATGCTAACAAGAAAATGACAATAAGTACCACATTCCTATTCAACTAGATAATATGATACACATGATGGTTGGTTCCACCTCCTTTTTTTAAAAGATAATCAAAGGGCAGATATTATCAGACAAATGTGAAACCCTTAAAGTGGAGGATCACTGTCAAGACCCAAAAAGATAAAAAACTATGGGTGCCAGTCAACCATTTTATCTTTCCAAATGAACCAAGCATATTCATGTATTTCATAACCCAAGTATTTTGACGCTTCAATTCACTCGCTTTCTAGTAATCTATTTTAATGATTCCTAATCTGTACTAAAACCAAGGATGCGCACAAACTCCATACATAACAAAGTATGAGAGCTCTCTACCAAGATAGCGTAAATTTGAAGAAATATTCCTTCCTGAGTTATGTGCTGTTTTTCCTTCTTTTTACGTTTTCTAAAGATGTGTTGGCTGAACCACGCAAAGGCAAAAGAAACTTGAGATTAATTGATTCCAACTACTTCATATGAAGTTTGTAGTTCTCATGGGCTTCCCCATAACACACATTCTATAAGAGTCTTAATAGAGCTATTCATACCAAGTACCTACAAGGCTATAGTCAATTGCATGATTAAAGTGCAATGTATTTAAACAAATGTAGCATCACAAGCATTCAACAAACTAAAGAAGATAATAGATGAAGTACTTGTTTTGCACCTTCTGAATAGAGGCATCTGATGTGGCTAGAGATATGTCACATGTGGGCATTCAAGGCAAGCCTAGTTAATAAGGGCATTTTTATCTATTCATTTTAATAGGGACTCTCAATTACCACCAAAGGTTGTAGCCTAATGGTATCTCCTCTACCTCCCAAAGGGAATGGTGAGGGTTCGAGTTCTTGTAGGGACAAATGGATGCTTGAGTTTCTTGCCAATTCAAAAAAAATAGGTACTCTCAATTGCTTGTTTCGGGGAAAAAAATTGACAAAGTTGAAGCAGAATAATTCTATTCTTTTTTCGAATTTCTGATGGGCAACCAAGAAATTCACTTGTCTCCACTATGCTTGTTCCTCAGGCAGATACCGCAACATCATATATTTAACTTATTTAAAGAAAATAATGCCACAAAAATAAATTGACTTCACAAATAAGCTAGTAAATTAACCCACTTAAATATGAAAGTTAATAACAATTACTATGCCTTGTACACACAGAATAAAGTATACAAAAAAATTTAAAATCTTAAATACTCGAGGTTTGAAGAAATACAAGATACTTTCTTTTTTTTTTTTTTTTTTTTGTTTGATAAGTTAAATACAAGATACTTGAAAGTGAAAGGAAATAAAAACAACAATTTTGGATATACATATACTAAACATCATCATGAAGAGAATTTAATTCAAAATCGATTAAAAATTAAATAGGAAAAATACCTGGACAATGATGAGGAAATACAAAATACTATACTAATACTATTTATAAAGAGTCTATTGTTAATTTCAACCTGAAATGTAAAGTAAAAATAACCCAGAATGCTATTAAAGGAGCACATGAAACAACAACAAAGACATCAGAAATTAGCACAAAGAGCAGAAATTGCAAATCCCACCAACAAGACAAGAACTTCTGAGAAAGTTGATGAGCAATATACAATGCCCAAATTGAAAGAATGCAGAAGCTTAGAAGGAGACTCACCAGAGATTGGTGTCGAATTAGCGTCTTCTTACACGGCGACTCCACGACACGAGCGGTGCCGAAAGACGGGCGATACGCTCCGGCAATTGGGTTCGGAGGCCGACCATTGCTGGAGCTCCCGTTTTCTGTACCATTCACAACTTTACTTCCCTCCATCTCTATTCTCAAACATCAACATCCTCTGTTTCAAAACCCTAGCTTGAAAACTCCTCTCCACATAGAGAAAACTTTGACCCAATGACGGTGAAACTCTGGATCTTTGATGCTGTTCTAGGGTTTTATTTTGGGCAGTGAAGAGTTCAGAAAAGATGCGTCGATCTGCGATATGGGTAGGATAGATTTCTTAGGGTTTTAGGGGGCAATAGAGTAGACGAAACAAGAGTGTGTCAGTTAATAGATTTAGAGAGAGAGAGAGAGAGTTTTAGAGAGAGAAAGAGAGAGGGGGTTGGGGACGATTTTGGTGTGGGATCTGTCTCACCGGAATGCAGCTTTCTAACTGGTCGGTTTTAAAGGGAGTACATGTTGCCGTTGCAATTTGTTATAAATCGGTATTCGAGTGAAGTGACCTACAAAAAACGACGTCGTGTTGCTTTGTGTTCCTCCATAAGAAAGTATCAATTTGTCATCATTACTTCAATTTCTGTAAAGATATGAAAAATCTACTAAATGAAGGTGATTGGGCGAAAAATTCCACGTGCTTTTTTAGGAATATCATTTATTTATTTATTTATTTATTTATATATTATTAATAATGCTTACCAACAATGATGTGTTATTTTTTTAAATATTTTTTTTGTTTTTTTTTTGGGCCTACTCCAATAGAATAGTGTACAATAAAGTTGGATCTCCTATGGTTTTTATCTACGTGTTTGCTACATTAGTCAGTAATGAATATCTTTTTACTTATATTATATAAAGGGATGCTCAATAAATATAGAAGATTTATTTTCTTTTCTTTGTTTGTGTGTGTGTGTGTGTTAGTGGGAGAAATTGCAGAAATAAAAAAGACCACTTCCAATAAACTTGGAAGTTGACACAATAATATAGAAGATTTATTTTCTTTTTTATTACAACAAAATAAACAATGAAAGAACAAGGTACACTAACAAACACTGCCAGCGGCATCAAGCTCCAGATGTCGAAATATTAACAATGGCAACGAATCAAGAACGATGTCCGAATTCATATCATTTCGTGAGAGTCTTGCAAGAGCATGGGCCACTCGATTGTCATTACGTCGAACATGCGAGAGTAAAGTCCATGAAAAATTCTTCAGAGCTGCCCGAATGTCATATATCATAAACGTAATCGCAACATTACCGAAACTTACCCCATCTATGGCATCCAATACCAATTTAGCATCCAATTTAAAGCACACAACTTGAAAGTTAACTTCTCAAGCCCAATATATAGAACGTCTAAAGCAAAATGTTTCTATTATTCGATTGAAAAAGACCACTTCCAATAAACTTGGAAGCAAACTACGAACGAAAAAATTGCAAGTCTTAATACTAGTGATGCAAATCATCAAAAGAAGCCAAACCAGCAATATGCATGACTTCAAAGATGGCAGCCCTAGCAAGTAGCAACCTCCGAAGCAGTTATCCGATAATTCTGACGCATCCTTGAATTCCATATAGCCCAAATGGTAGTGGAAATTTTGATGGAGAAATTATTGGAGGTTTAAGATCTATGCTCGCACCAAACAAGAAAATTACTCAGTGGAAGGACCGTTATTTAACCAATCATGTTATATGGGCGGAATGTTGGGCACCGCAATTAATTGAAATACGCAAGACGGAATCAACACTTTATTTACCAATAAGGACATAGATGGTATAACAATTACAAATCCATCCCAAAATAAGGACAGAGTAGGATTTTACCAAATCCACCACATCTCCCTTCCGTTACTATCCCTAAATCCATCTAACCCGTTTAATTAATACGGAGTAAAAAAATTATATTTGTCCCATGGTCATATTAGATTAATTTCTTAAAGTCCATATCTACCCCCATTAGAAGATAAATGAACCAGTACTTGTTCTATGAACGTTTTTCTTTTCTTATGGGCTTAAAGCCCTATCAATTCTTTGAATAACAAAATAAATAGCAATCCAAAAAAAATTAGAAGTCCATTAAAAAGCAACCATAAAAAATAGTAAAAACCGAGTGATGGAACCGATTTTTATCCCTATAACTCGTGATGGATTTTAAATTTTGTTTTTTTTCCATATATGTTCCATAAAATAAAATAATTCTCACATCTGTCTAATTTACATATTAGGTGCATTGTACATTGGACTCATCAAAATTATACATACAATACGCACGTCTCAAATTAATTCACATATGTTTCATTTACGAGAAAATATTGAGTGCACTGTATATCAAGCTCATCAAAATTGTACATACACAGCATGTAGGTCTCGAAATACCGGTGGGCCCACCCAATTTATATTCCTCACTTCCAATGTAAAAGCCGAAAGGGTTTCTATCGGAATGAGTTAAATTAGCATTCCCAAATGTTAGGAGTTATTATCGTGTACGTTGCCACTAGGAAGCCGTGTCACTCAAGAAGACACCCATTTTAAACACGCGTCCAGCCGACAAAGGGCCACCGTTAGGGTCCTTGTCAGCTACCGTAAACTGACCAACAACTAGGACCAACTCCCTTAAAACTACACTGCTACGCATCATATATTATACGAGTACTATATATATATATATATATATATATCCTCTCTCTTATTCTTGTAATTCTCTTTATAGCACAGCCATTGTTACTCTATTATAAAGAGAGAACAAGAGGTAGAGAGAGATAAAAAAATAAATAAATAAAAAATGGCTGTTTGCTCCCTCAATCTCTCTCCTCCCTCTTCTACTTCCAATCCACCGTCCCTCCCTATTTCGAAGACAACTCCAGTTGCACGGTAAGTCAGCCTTCACCTGCGCGCACTCTAGCATCTAGCTTACTTCTCTTGCTAACATGCGCCACCTAAATAATACATGATATAACATGCGCACATACACGATCCATGTCTTACCGACTCTTATATATATGATTCCCACTGAGTAGAAAATATTTGAATGGTAAGTCTGCCTTCACCTGCGCGCATATATTCTAGCATCTACCTTACTTCTCTTGCTAACATGCGCAGCCTAAGTAATACATGATCCATCTGAAGACGACCCCCACTGATATCATAAATTCACAATCTCTTCGCCCACACTCTTTGATCTCTCCTATTTCTTTCTATTTATAAACAAATCTATTCACCTGCGCACCTTCACTCTTGGCAGTCATGCTAACATGCGCCATGTATTATTGTACTTTTAAAGTCTTATGACCCAGTTAAAAAGCTGCCTCAATATCTTCCCTCCATCTCCAATTTCTAACCAATATTTCCTCCCCTCTGAGACAACTCCGGTTGCATATATGGCAAGTCAACCTTCACCCGCGCACTTTAGCACATAGCTTATTTCGCTTGCTAACATGCGCCACATGTAAAATAAATATGTGCAATAATGTTCTTAATTATTGGATTTATATTTGCGCAGGCCATGTAAGGAGAGGTCTTGGAGAAGCCAATGTGTTGTGGGAGTGGCATGCATGATGATGGGCTTGGAAATGTCCAATTTGGTCATGGTTAACCAAGAACGTGCCATTGCACAAGTTATGCAATCACTTGTGCAATCTAATGATCAGAAGGTTAATAGATGGAGCGACAAGAGATCGTGCCAGCCGTGGCGGCTCAACTCACTGGAGACCATCGTGCCGGAGAACCTTCCGAGGCCGTCGGCTCGCCGGAGATGGGAGTCCGTTGGTCATACTAGCCTTGCTCCGGCAGTTAAAGTTACACTACTTGAAACTAATTCAAAGTGTTTTTCTTTGTAAAGTTACAACATTAAGTATTGAAAATTATACTTGTGAAATCTATTCTTTCGTGTTCCCGCTTCTGTTGTCGTTTTTAATTTTGTTGTATTTGTGTTTATGCTCTCACACTCGTGTGCGCTCGCGATTTCACTGATCAAGCCATTTTTAACCATTTAAATATCATACTAGCATTTTTGAACAACTATGAAAAATTCAACTACAATAAATTTATTTAATTACCGGATTAATCAAATGAATATACTCCATTCCTTAACATGAACACACCCACTTAACCCTAATTGACTTGAATTTAATTTAATCATATATTTTGAATGATAATTAACGAAGGCAATGATTGCCTTTGGACAAGTACAAAGTTTGTAATATAAAAATTAAAATACATTATATATTTACATTTGAAAATTAGATTATACTTTTCCATGTCTGGTACAACTTTGGGGCAAAGATTGTGGTGTTGTATGTATAGTACACGATTGGCGTTTTTAGTAGTTGTAGTACTTGCAGTACAATTGGGATATTTTTGGCGCCCTCATGCATGCAGGAACCACGTGTTGATGTATCTCTCCAGCATATGGGCCTACAAGAGGGCTTGATGGATTTTGTTTTTGTTAGACAACTTGGACTAGACTGTCCTCTTTAGGCCCAATTTCTCAACCCACACATCATAGGGTTGATTTATAGAATAAGTTTAAGTTTGTAAATGGGTTTGGGCATTGTTCAAAGTTCAAACCCATATCTGTAGCGTCATTGGGCCGAGACTAGAGATCACCAGAGTCTATAGAATTTCTTCTTCTTCTCCTAGCCACATGGGATAACTTTTTGAGCTTTTCCTAGCCGCATGGGACAACTTTTTGAGCTTTCAAATCCATCATATTTTCTCATTAAGAAGTGTGCTTCACTAGATTAAAAGGATTCACACAATGGATTGTGATCATTTTTTATATTTCAGAAAGATTAAAGGGCATAGATCCTCGCTAGTGTAGGGTGGAGATCACTTCACACACCGGTAGATAGAACTCTTTGGTGGAATGATCCTCATCGTACGCCGAAAAAATTTACGTAGACCAGTAGATTAATCGATTACGAAGACTATGAAAGAATGGTTATCCTCCTCGGTCTATTTGGCCGGATTAAAAATCATTTTCTTGCTCCGAACTATGAACCTCGCACTAAAAGTTAGCAGCCCTAGGTGAAGTATTCTCGACCTCATTTTCTGATAATGAGATTTGTATTAATTATACGCATAACTAACCTAAAGACTAACACGTAGAAGGTTTAGGATGACACGTTAATTGAATATTATGTACCTATAGTTTTTTTTCTTAATCGAGCATAAACTTATCAATAAGCAAAGTAATGAAAAAAGAAAGCCCTCAATAGGGGTCAAGCTAGTAGGGAAGGAAAAAATAGACAAGACTTAGGAACAAACTTGCAATGCAATTCTTTTGCTGTGATCAATTTTCTCAACTTTTCATGGACAAATTCACACATAAGGACATATATATGACTCAGATTTCAACATTCGCATTTCTATGGAGAATGAGAGAGGAGTTTCATATTATATATCAGGAATTATATGACAAATATAGAGAATATAATGTGACTATAATAAAATGATAGAATATCTAAAATTCTAGCATAAAAGGGGTTGTAAAAAATATTTAGTGATAATATTTAAAGACAATGTCACTTGTTACAAGTGAAGTCTTGTTCCACGTCAGATCCACACAGGAATTGAAATGAGTATAAATGGGTTGGGTGCATGATGTGCAGTTGTGGTATCGAACGCGATCGTGCTGTAACAGAATTGAACGAATATCGGTTTGAACCGGTCAAACCGACCAGTTCACGGAGGTGTATAACTTTATCGAACCCTCGAAAAAGGATTATGAACCGACGTATCGGTTCATGGAGGTGTGTAACGTTATCGGACACGTATCGGCGAATCATAATTTTTGTTCAGCTCTTAAGCACCCGACTTGTTAAAGTTGGTATCACAATCAGACCCAATTATTAATTCGATAACACTCCAAGCGTCCCACCTAGAGACCAGGTGATCGATCACCCTCTAGTAGGCACAGGATTGTGAGTTTGGGTGGGAGAGCACATAAATTTAGGCATGTAGCAAAAATGAGAGAAAAACTTTGTTGTGTTGGTTGTACTGTGCAATGGGCATATCTAGACCATCCGTGTAATACACATATTACACGCACGATAATAAACGATTAAATGTGTCCATTGCATAGCAACTAAGTTTTTCTTAAAAAAATAGTTCTGATGGAGTTAAACATGCTTCTAAAGCTGCATCTTATGGTAAACATGACTTATTCAAATAAAAAAAGAAAAAAACTAATTTTGAAATATTTTATAAAATAAAATATGTATATATATTTATATATATCAACATAGTGATAGAGATGATATTGAATGGTAAAAAAAGGTTTGAACCACTTCAATTTTTTGAATCTATATATTTATACTAATAAAGAACCGTGTATTAGTTTATTTTTTTTCTTCAATCACCATTATCATTAATTTATTTTCAATAAATACACTAGATGTCAGAAACTAGTTAAATGGTAAATGAAGCCCCATACCAAGCTCTGCCCTCTTTGTGGCACGTGTCTTAACTCTCTTATTTTCTAATTAAACATTAAAAAACCAATACATGGGCGCGTAGTTCACACTCCTTACTAAAATTAAGTAAAATTACATTTTTTTTTTTTTTTTTTTCTTTCTAAGTAACATAACGTGGGAGCGAGAATGGGAGTGAGAACGAATTCGAGAATGAAAGTGTAAAAGCGGCATAATTTAATCATAAGCAGTGAAAATTTAAGTGAGTACATGAAGTGTGAGAGCGATACTTGTTGATAAGAATTGTACGGTTTAGCATTTTCTGGTCTTTGACACTGAGAATGGGCGCGTGATTCTACTCTCAGAAAATGAAAGTGCGATATGTTATTTGCTCCTGTATTTATAAGTGTATAGCAATTAATTATTTTCACAGAAAGCACATATATAAATGTAGTAGTTATATTTATATCAACTCTTTGCCCATTGCTCATGTCATAACACACCTCCAAAACTATGCAGAGAGGCTGAGAGAAGAAAGAGCCTTGAGAAGGAGAACCAAATCATTTCCTTAACCTTCACGCCTTCCATTACTACTCCCCTCTCTCTCTCTCTATCTCTCTCTCTAAGATTTTCTCTCTCTACCTCTCACTTCTCATAAAAACCATCACTGTCTATGCATATATATATTTAAAACCCCTCCTCTGATTAGCCCCTCATTGATTCTACCTACAACAACATTTCCTTCATTCACTCACCATGCTCTCTCATTCACATCATTAACTGTCTCAGCAAAACAGAGTAGTAGTAGTAGAAAAACAGTTTTACAGAGTCAAAAAACAGAGTATAACAAAAAAAAAAAAAAAAAACAGAGCTTTTCATTTTCTTTTCTTCTACATGGGTTCTAGTCAAGAAAAAGAAGAAAGTCAACCAAATTGCTTGTGGGTTCAAGGGCCTATCATAGTAGGTGCAGGACCATCTGGTCTTGCAGTCTCAGCTTGTCTCAAAGACAATGGTGTGCCCTCTGTGATTCTTGAGAGGAGTGACTGCATAGCTTCATTATGGCAACAGAGAACCTATGATCGCCTCAAACTCCATCTCCCCAAACAGTTCTGTGAACTCCCACTGCTTTGTTTCCCAGAAAATTTCCCACAGTACCCAACCAAACAACAATTCATATCATACATGGAGTCATATGCTGCACATTTCTCTATTGACCCAATCTTCAAACAGGTGGTTCAAAGTGCTGAGTTTGATCAAGCTAGTGGTGGGTTGTGGAGGGTTCGGACTCAGGACTCTGAGTACATTTCTAGGTGGCTTATTGTTGCCACCGGAGAAAATGCCGAACCGGTTATACCGGAAATCACCGGGATTGAGAGGTTTGATGGGCCTGTGGTGCACACAAGTGGTTATAAGTCTGGTTCTGAGTTTGAAAACCAGAGGGTTTTGGTTGTTGGGTGTGGGAATTCTGGTATGGAAGTTAGCTTGGACCTCTGTAGACACTTTGCAAGTCCTCATATAGTGGTTAGAAGCACTGTATGTTTTCTATTTTTGTAACTTTTTCAGTAATTTTTTATTATTATTATAAATTTTGTCAATTCTCAATTTTGGGTATGTAACAAAAACAATTTTTAGCACTTCAAATCACTTACTAGTCATAAATTTGTTCATTCAGGTGTGTTCCTAATTGTAATTATTTTCATGTGGGTAACTATCGAATTTGATACATTTAGGGTAAAATTAATATCATTTATGTACAAATTTGTAGATTTCTTCATATGGGTATGTATGATTTTTTTTATCCTAACTTTGTTGTGTTACTTGTTACAGGTGCATGTATTGCCTAGAGAGATGTTTGGCTTCTCAACTTTTGGAATAGCAGTGGCACTTCTCAAATGGCTACCTTTAAGAATAGTAGACAAGGTCCTTCTACTTTTGGCCAGCTTCACCTTAGGCAACACAGACAGGTTAGGTCTTCCGAGGCCGAAAACCGGACCAATCGAGCTCAAAAATGCCACCGGAAAGACCCCGGTGCTCGACGTTGGAGCCCTGTCACAGATAAAATCCGGCAAAATAAAGGTAACCAGCCAGCCAAACACACCCTTAAAGTACTTGTTCACATGATGTTCACAGTTTTTGTGCATTTATCAATGTAGGTTTTGGCACAATCTGTAGCTAATGTTTTTTAGGGTTGCAGGTGGTGGAAGGTGTAAGAGAGATCACAAGAAATGGGGCCAAATTTGTGGATGGACAAGAGAGAGAGTATGATTCTATAATCTTAGCAACAGGGTATAAGAGTAATGTCCCTAGTTGGCTCAAGGTATGCACATATGACTTGACCAGATATGTTAGGTCATGTTTGGTGGCTTAGTATGTTTTTAGTTTTATCTCTATTTATCAATCTCACATCACTTTCCAAACTTACACATGCAGTAGTATCCTACAAACTGTTTGCTTAGTCTCTTATATACAAAAGAGAAAATCTAGATGGCTATTTGTTTGGATTATTACCCCTCCTTGAAATTGCTTTTTTGAAATACTAGAAAAAATTTTGTTGGATTTGATGAAGTGTTGCTGTCATGAAATATATTCCTTTTTTTTCTTTCTTTCTTTTTTTCCTTCTGAGGTTCAGTCTTGCAAAAAAAAAAACAAAACCTAGAAAGTCCTGTTTTGAAATAAGTTAATAAAGTGGTCATATGTTCAGAGATAAATCCAATGTAAGCATTTGTTTATAGAAAAAATCAGCATATATATATATACACACACACACACATTTTTATTCCCGACGCACCATTTTCAAATACGATGAGTTTCCCAACTCACGTGCACCATTTATTAATCTAAGCGTAAGTATGGAGTCATTAAAGAGTGGGACAGTGAAATTTATTTATTTATTTTTTTATAAAACTCTTAAAAATGCAATCACTTAATTTCTAATGAAACCACACTATATAGTATTGTTATTCAAAATCACCCCTCACAAATTTGGACTTTGTATTATTGTTTTGGAAATGCAGGATGGTGATTTGTTTACAGAGCAAGGCATGCCCAAAACACCATTTCCCAACAGTTGGAAAGGAGAGAATGGTTTGTATACTGTGGGTTTCACAAGAAGAGGGCTCCTTGGGACCGCATCAGATGCTGTTAAAATCGCCAGGGACATAGCTAATCAACGGATGACAATCAAGGATTGCAAGAACAGTTGTAATTCCCATATTATTCTAAAAAGACAGCCGTGACTAAATCACTGATATAGCCAGGAAAAAAGAAAATTTGGGTTATGTTTGGAGTGGGCCTTTTATGGGGAATTTTTTTCTTTTTTTTTTTTGCAGTTGTAAATCCAATTTTGCATGGGGTTTTCTCCTCATCTGGTCATGTTTCATGTTTGTTGACTTTGAAGTTTGTATTATACAATTTTGTAAGTAAACTATTCTCTCTTTTAAGTATTTCACTTCCAAAATCATAAACAAAATATATTTTTTCTTCCTAGTTCACTAACATACATCCATTCCTATTAATAAAAATCACCGTGCTTTTTAAGCCAATTCCGATAAATATAGACATACAAGATGTAAGATATATCTATCAATTATCGATTATAATTTTACACATATTTGTCTCTGTTCAGTACTGATGGAATTAAAAAAAAAAAAAACTATTTTCTTAATCAAAATTGTTAATCAAAGGCCTATTAATATTTGTCATTATTTACACAATAATTATGTTCGTACTCAATAAGAATTGCGCATGACACTCATCATTTTTATTCATAAAAAGGTGGTGAAAATGGAACTGATCATTTTGCCCATGAAAATGGAACTGATCATTTTGCCCATAATTTGGTCAACCCTTAGGTCATGATAACTCTTTGAGAAAAGCTCAATGACACCTTTTAAACTTGTTGATACAGCTAAAGTACTTAAAGGCAGAGCCAAACACTTTGCTTACTATTATTGGCTTTGCCAAAGTAAGATGGAGATGAGTTGAGTTCTCAGTGGACTAATTTTGGTAATCCACAGATGTCAATTTTTACCGCTCCGCCGGGGTCCCGTCCCGTCCTGCCCGTTAATAACGGATATAGGAACACTTTTTATACCGTTGGAGCGGGCATGGATACAAATTTTATACCCGTCGAGGGTCACGGGGCGGGTAAGGGTTCAGTATACATATCCTAGGGGCCCCGCCCCGCTAAGCATATAACTATATATATATATATATATATATATATATATATATATAATATTAATAACTTATTTTAGCGACTTACCCAGTTACCCATCTCTTACAATCCTAATTTGGGATGTAAACTTGGTATTAAATTTGTTTTTGTTTTTGTTATAGTGGAAGTTAGAGCTTAGAACTTCTTGTGATTTAGTTATATTAAACTTTTATTTTTGTTTATTATGTTATCTGAATTATGTTATGTGCATGTTATTTTTTTATTTTTGTTGGGATACATAATTTCATTTATGTTGTGTCATTCCCAGTCTTTCTACATATAGCAGGAACTTAAGTTCCAAAAAGTGAGAGAAAAAAATTTATTAGCGGGGCGGGCATGGGGGCACAGTATTTCCCAACGGGGCGGGGCTGGACATGAAAATTCAACCCGTCGCGGGTCTCGGAGCGGGCATGGACTTGACAAAAATTAAAAGGGGCGGGGCGGGATTTAGAGAAACCCGCTCCATTGCCATCCCTCCACACGCTCGGCTTGTAGTTTTCAAATTTCATCACTTAAAAGGTTAATCCAGTTATAAATTCACATATACATACATACGTATACATACTTACATACATATACAATACACAATTTATACACTGATGCACAAGTTGTGTACATATACCATGCGTCAGGAGGTGAAGTTTTTACATGTTCCTTCCAATCACAACCCGACGCTCAAATTAAAATTTGATTTTATTTCTCGAATTTGGATTATGTTTGGAATATTCATATTAAAATTATTATTATTATTTCAACATTATTTATGCTTTGTTATTCCTGAGGATATGTATTATATAATATTCTTCTTAATATTCTATCTTATTGTACATATGGATTTAGAGTATTTCTCCTATTCGGTGGTTTTGCTCACCCTAACATTTTTTCTAAACTCACTTGAGGGCTTGTTTCTTGAGAGTTTAGCAATAATGTTATTGAATTTTAATATTGTATCAGAGCCAATTCTTAACTGGAAATGTGGGGAGTACATAAACTTATAAGGTATAAGAATCTAACGGGATGCTAGATCCCAAAATGGGGTGATTTTGACATTCCACGTCGCTTGGAGATAGATTGATTTTGAGAAAAATCAATATAAACTTCTTGAACATTTGAGAAAATCAGAAGAGAAAAAAAAGGCTTCAATTATTGAATATTTGAAAAAGTCTATAGAAATCACACTCTAGAAGTACGTTGCGCTAGATTACTTGCTACACCAATTACCTTAAGTGTGTTGATTGTGTATCTTTGTTTTGTGTAATACCCCGATAATTTTAAAGGATTTATTAATTAGGATTAATTATTTTATTTTATTTTTCAATGATTTATTTTATTTTATTGAGTGCTAGATTAATTATCTTATTTTAATTAAGTTATATTTCGTGATTATGTATGATGATTGATTGTTTGTGTGGTTGATTATTGATTGAATTATTGGTGTGTTGATTTTATTGGTATTGTATGACTTAGTTGTAAATTCTTGTTTGTTTATGTGCTTCATGTAATTAGTTATTTTAATTTCTGTATTTAATTAATTATCTTATTTATTTAAATTAATTGGATTGGGCTTAAGGAAAGTTGGACCAAAAGATGTGGTCTTGGGCTTGTATGAAACCTTATTGGGTTAATTAATGAAGGTCCGTGGTTATTTAATTATTTAAATGATCACTTTTGTATCAATTATATATATATATATAATTAATTAATAATTGTTATGGAAAGATATATATTTATTGATATATATATATGTATATATGATTTAATTAACTAATGGGTTAATTATGGAAGGAATATATATTTATATATATATATGTTTATAGATATAAATTATTTAAAGGTTATTATTTTAATTCATAATACTAGTTGAAATAGGATTTGGAATTTAAGATGTATAAAAATGCACATAAGGGTTTAGGGTTAAAAGTTTTACACGTTAGAAAAATAAAAAAAAAAACAGACAGAGAGAGAGGAAGAAGAAGGGCTGACAAGGAGGACGTCGGATCTGAAAAGGAGGACGTCGGAATTGGAAGAGATAATTAAAGCTTAAAGCGTCGGTTTCGTTTCGAAACCTTCAGACGAGTTCTTCTCTAACTTTCCTTTTAGAACTCATAAAGATTTCACCTTGAGCATTAAGGCTTTAATTAATTTTATTAATTAAATCATGGCTATATCTGATAAATTAAAAGCATGAATTATTATATTTTAATTTTGTTTATTTTTTTTAAATTGATAGATGTATATGTTGTATTTATTGTGAAATCAATTGTTGTGCTTGATTTTTGACCCAAGAGGGTTATTTAAGGGTTTATAGAATTTATAGGATTTTTCTGTATTTTCTGGGATTTTTCTGGAATTGTTTTATAATTTCTGAAATATTTTTAGAATTGATCTAATAATTTTTGGGTAATTAAATAAATTATTAAAATGGGGGAAGGATTCTGTTCATCGGCGTGTGAAAAAAAGGCTGGCGATTCAGTACGGCGCGGTACATGGAAGTATAGTGTGCCGTGGATGTGAGACATAGATGTGCCATGATCAAAGGTAGATTAATCCGGTTTGTCTACCAGAGTTATTATACGCGTGGATCTCCACCATTAATGGGGGATCAGATCAGTGGATTGATTCAGTGTGGGCGAGCTCACCGTAGCACATGAGCTCAGCCAATACCAGCACACACAAAGGCTTGGATCCAGCGCATGCAAGTGCATGGTAAGCACGTGGGCGCGCGTGGGAAACTATGTTGGCCTAATTCGACACTAGAAATTAAAACGGTCATAACTTAGTCATTTTAAATTGAAATTGGGTCATTCTTGAGCTCAAATTCAAGGATTTTTCGTCTTCTTTCCAATGGTACCAATTTCATTATCAGATTCCCATCCTACTAGGAGATATTTTTGTTTTAGTGAGACAGTGTCGGAAAACTATTTAAACCAATATGGAGTATTTAGAGGAAACTATTTCTGACATATTTAGTTGCACTAATTTGTGTAAATATAATAAATTAATAATTTGTTATGGAAGGAAGTGTGTATATATATATATATATATAATTATTTATATATGTGTATATATAGTTTAATTTGTCTATGAGTTGTATGGAAGGATGAATATATATATATATATATGTGTGTGTGTATGTATGTATATTGATTTTAAATAATCAAGGATTATTAAGGAAGGTGTTAAACACATATATATATTAAATAATATATGTGTAGGTATATATATATATATAAATCATTTAAGATGATTAATATTATCATTCTTATTTGGCATATCTTGATAGGCTGGTTGTTAAATTAATGATATGCGTATAATATGCATGTGATGGCTATGTATGATTTAGCGTATTGTTAATTTTAAAGTTAATTCATGGTTAAAGTGTGGGCATGGATGAATTGTCAAATGATTAAATATATTACCTAAATATTTGTATGAATAGAATACATATATGGAAAGTGTTGATGAATTGCTAATTAAATGTATGAATAAATATACCTGTGGAGGCATGGTTGAATTGCCAATGTATAAAATATACATACACGGAGGCATGGTTGAATTGCCAATGTATAAATAAATATACTTATGGAGGCATGGTTGAATTGCCAATATATAAATAAAAATATTTACAATGGCATGATTGATTTGCCAAAGCATAATTACGTTGTTATGTGTTAGATGATTAAAATATCATCTATGGTTGTTGTATGTATGGATTGGATTAGGGTTAGATATTCTTAAATGAGAATAGTTTAGTACTTACTGGTTAGTGTATTATTTAATATTAATAAAATAATATTGGGGAAGACATAGATGATTTGTCAAAGCTTGGATTTTGGATATGTGATTTAAACAATTAAAATCATTATCGGGTTGGGATTAAATAGAGTATTTCTTTTATTATAATTTATTGTTTAAGTGATTAAACAACTGATTAGGATGGAATTCAGGTTAAAGGAGTTTATTTTTTTTTAAAAAGAAATGGTGGATTGGTCTAGGTATGATTATTATTTTAATCATTATTTAATAGGTTTGAAAATTTAATAAATCTATTAGTAGATGTGATTAATGTAGTATATATAATTATTTATATATATGTATATCATGCTATATTAAAGTTAAATTCTTTATTATGTTGGATTTTGATCAGAGATGATCTACTTATTGGTTTTCAGAGGTCTGGTATTAACCCACGATTTATTTTTCAGGTTATTAGAAGTTCCAGTCTCGAGGTTGAGGATCCGCAGCTGTGAGACTGTTATTCATCTATTCATCTTGTGTACTTTTAAGTAATATTGGATTATAGATAATATTTTAAGGGGTCCTTAGGTTATGGGATTCCCGAGTTGTAATTGTTGGAGAGTTATTAATTAATGGAAATTATTATTTATTAGTTTTTCTTCAGCGTATTATTTATTCTTTTATTTCACTTTGTATTCTGTGCTTGATTAAATACTTTAATTGTTTTGATATCCCTTAATTTTGTGTGCGGACTTGATCAACCCGTGTTTCGAAATTAGGGGG